CCCCAGATCAAGAGGAATGTTCGTCCTAAGCTTTTCGCCCGGGCCGCAGAGGGAAAACTTCCGGCTGCCCGCAAAAGCTGAGGATAAGGTAGGAAGTAGTACGTGGTAAGGTTTTTCCGGATTCTGCCCCCCGTTGTAGCCTCATCTAGCGCGATGCAGCCAGCTAGCTAGCTGCAGCCGGGCTGTCCCTCGAGGATCCAATATCGCGATAGCCCCTTTTAGCGCGGGGCAGCTAGCCGTCGGTCGAGCATTTCGATTTTTAGCGACAGCCCTCTTTAGCGCGGTATCACTAGCTACCTTACCTTTTGAGCCTCTAATTTATAGCCGGAGCCTCTTTTAGCGCGATGCAGGTAGCTGTCTGTCGAGCATTTGATTTGTAGCGGTAGCCCCCATTTAGCGCGATGCGGCTCGCTGTCGGTCGAGCATTCCAATTTTTAGCGACAGCACTTTTGGCGCGATATAACGAGCTATTCTTCGAGCATCTAAATTATAGCAGTAGCCCTCTTTTAGCGCGACGCAGCTAGCTAGCTGTCCGTCGAGCATTCAGTTTGTAGTGATAGCCCCTCTTAGCGCGATACAGCTAGCTGTCGGTCGAGCATTTTCATGTTTAGCGCCAGCCCTTTTAAGCGCGATGTAACCAGCTATCCTTCCAGCATCCAATCCATAAACAATAACCCCTTCTAGCGTGATGAGAAAGGGAAGCATCCACAATTGCGTCGTACACACACCAAGAAGGGACCAGAAAATTCCAAAACAGATGGGGACCGGCCAGTAGTAGCACCCGTAAATCGAAACCCCCACGCTCCACACCCTACCCTTTTCTACCTTATAGCGAAGTAGGGGGTCACGATTATTGGACCGCTTAAATTCAGCACTAAGCTCTGCGGAGGTACTGTACAGGCCTTACCGTGTTGCCTCACCGCTCTGGGATGGGTACACCTATCTCGTGGGCAGAAAAGTATTGCCCACTATTCGCTATGTAGACCTATCAAAGGCGGCAAGACAATAATTAGGGCCTATTTACCGCCGTATTCAGGAATAGCTTAGCTAATGGACCGTCCTGTTGAGAGAGACCGTCCCGTGGTTTGGTCCAGGCCAAGTATTGCGAATATCTAGTATTAGCCTCACGTGATTTGGTTCTTAAAATAGACCACCGGTCGACGGTCGTGTTCGGGTTTGGCTGCGTTCCAGTACCTAGGTACTTGGTCTAGTACAGGTCTATTACCATCTTTCCCACCACACACACTATGCGGATCCATTATTAGTCCGTTACAGTTGTAATGGACCAGTCATGGACCGTATATACAGCGGTCGGCCAAGTCGTTGCAACTGGCCTCTAAAAGGAGAACATTAGATAACGACACGTAACTTGCTTCTCTATAACCCACCTCTCGACTTACCACTTTTGGATTAAAAAGTTGGGACCTACGAAGTACCTGAAAGGCAGGTAAAGGGTCATTTCAGCGATCCTCTGATCCCCTTTTCCAAAAGACGGTCGGTCACCACACCGTTTTAAATCAATCCCAGTTCCAAATCAAGAACAGTTCACTTTTACAACCGTCCTCGAGCTTTGGGCCGTCCTATAGCCTAGCCGTCTTATATCTATCACCGTCCCAAAGTTTTAAAACGCGTTTGTCAAGGAATCCGTATTAAATATTTAAGATAATCTAGTGCTCGTTCTTGATAAAACACGATTAAGATATAAAACCCTTTTCTTTCCTAATGATATCGTTCCGATAACAATTTCACAAAATCGACGCCAGGATGTTTCTCGGCATCGCTACTACAGCTTACGTATTACCGCCCCTCCAAAGATTATTCAAAATCGGGATATCGATTCCTTTAACAAAAGACACCTTAAAGGCAGGTAGGGGGTCATTTGAGCGGTCCTCTGATCCTCTTTTGTAAGAAACGGCCATTAGACCGCTTAAATTCAGTACCAAGCCCTTTTCAAGAATAGTTTACCGAGAAGACCGTCCCATTAAAAGAGACCGTTTTGTAGCCGTCCCATAGCCGTCCCCGTCTATATTTTTAAAATAAGCTTACTCACAAGCTGGTTTTCCAAAAAAATTGAAATAATTCGATAATTGTTTTAAAGAAGATATAGCTATAATCGTCGGTTTCCTTAAATTTTAATTCGAAAGAATTGACCGACTTGCTATAGCATGTCGGCACTACCAAGGCGGGACACCCAGCAAGGCGGGACAGTAAAATTTGCTCATTTTTAATAAATAAAAAATCAACCAACTATTATATAATAATTATCTTTGTATAAAAAGATGCGCCGTATTAATTTTGATGTTAATCAATTAATTGAATTTTAATTACAAGTTGTTATTCCGTTATTGTATTGAGTTAAAGTAATAAAAATAATACTTTTGTTATATATTTTTCGATTTTAGTAATGCGTACCATAAAGGGTAGTAGGGGGTCATTTGAACGGTCCTCTGATCCTCTTTTATAAGAGACGGCTATTGGACCGCTTAAATTCAGTACTAAGCTCTTTTCAAGGATAGTTTACCGAGAAGACCGTCCTATTGAATGGGACCGTTTTGTGGCCGTCCCATAGCCGTCCCCGTTTATATTTTTAAAACAGGCTTATTAATAAGCTCGTTTTAAAAAATTGAAATAGTTCGATAACCATTTTAAAGAAGATATAGTTATAGATAAAAATTATCTTTTAAATAAGATTGTTTTAATAATAATTTAAGAAGTTCAACGCCAAGATATTTCTCGGTATCGCTGCTACGGCTTGTATATCAACGCTTTAATTTTTTTACAATCGAAATCGATCGATTTAGCCAAAGTTTACCCGCGTACGACGGCCACCTGCTCAGCCCTTACAACGAAGGGGTGGAGTAGAAGATTAAGGGGGTGGAGGGGGGATAAGGGGTGTAGTAAGTGGATGAGGTAGTAAAGGGTAGACTAGCAAGCAATAAAAATATTATTTGCTTACTAATTCACGTTCTCAGGGACGGTTTTAAGCTCAGGGACGGCCATGGGACGGCCATGGGACGGCCATAGGACGGCCATAGGACGGTCTTAAACGCTCGAAGACGGTCCTAAGACGGTTTTTATACAAAAAGACGAGTATTTAAAAAAAATGATTTAATCGAATAAAATAGTTTTATTTTAGCTACGATTTAAATAATTTAAATCGTTTGTTTTCAGATTCTATTCAATCTTAAGTATAGGCCTAGGGTGATCCACCAGCCATGCCAACTTATTAAAATCGTCCCTAAAAGAGATAGTTATCGGACGATCAGCTGACCGTCTAAATGCTCTTGCATTCCCCTTTAAGGTAGTTTACCGAGAAGACCGTCCCATTAAAAGAGACCGTTTTGTGGCCGTCCTATAGCCGTCCCCGTCTATATTTTTTAAAATAAGCTTACTCACAAGCTGGTTTTCCAAAAATTTTGAAATAATTCGATGACCATTTTAAAGAAGATATAGTTATGGATAAAAATTATCTCTTAAATAGAATCGTTTTAGTAATAATTTAATAGGTTCGATGCCAAGATCTTTCTCGGTATCGCTGCCACGGCTTGCTTGTATATCGACGCTTTAAATTTTTTCATAAGCGGAATCGATCGGTTCAGCAAAAGTCTGCACGCGCACGCAGGGCGCTGCTTTCGCTGCAAGCTAATAGTGGTGTAATAGAGAGGTGGTGCAGGTAGTAGAGGGTAGACTAGCAAGTAATTGAAAAGAAAATAAAGATTACTTGCTTACCAATTCACGTTCTCCGAAACGGTTTCAAGTTCGGGGACGGCCTTCGGACGACGGACGGCCTGAGGATGGTTATAAAACGGTCTTGAAAACGATCTTGTCGTCACCAGACCCGACTTTTATCAACGACGATGTAGGTAATCGATTCAAGAACGGTTCTTATTTCATACATGATCCTCGAACGAAAAAGACGCGCTCTTAGAAAAAAAAAAAAAAACGGTTTAATCAATTAGAATAGTTTCTTTCATTTTAGCTACGATTTAAATGAATTGAATCGTTTGCTTTCGGATTCTATTCAGTCTTAAGTATCGGCCTGAAGTGATCCACTGAGATTATGCCGACTTCTGGGAATCGTCTTCGAGAGAGACCGTTATCGGATTGGCAGCTGACGGTTGAAAATAACCCCCTACCTGCCTTTTAAGGTGTAAGGCAAAGACTAAAAGGCCAAAATATCCGCCTCCTAATCCAAATTCCCAAGAACGGCTTGAAATCCAAGGAAGGCCTTCAGACGGCTGGCTATAAGACGGTCCCCAAGCGGTCTTGGAAATGATCGAGGACGGTCTCTGTAACGAAAAGCACGAGCTCTTATACAGCCCGGTTTGACTGATGAGGATGGATCGATCCATTTCAGCTACGATTTTAAAAAAACATTTTGGATCGTTTGGTTTCGGGTTCTGTTTGATCTTGAGTGGGTGGCTTGGGGTGATCAATCTACTTACTGACTATGCTAATCTCTTCAGATTGTTTTTTAGAGAGAGCGTGATCGGATGGTTAGCTGATGGTTTAGGTAACCTCTTCACCTGCGTTTAAGGTACTAGCAAGGGGGGGGAGGGGCGTCATTTCACTTGTCGTACGACACTCTTTTGTACGAGACGGTTTTGAGAGCGCTTTAGTTCGGTCGGGGCTGGAGCTATATTCAGGAACAGCTTAGCTGAATACCCACCCAGACCGTCCTGTTGAAAGAGACCGTCCCGATCCAAACTCCCACAACGATCTAGTATCAACCCGATCTGCTGACCGTCTCGTCTGTATTCCTGGACCACCAAGCCAAACACGACTCCGTCTGAAAAGCGTGGCTCATCAAGCCGAGATTCGGTGCCAACATGTGCTCCTCCGTATCGCCACCACCGTACTCACGAACGCCAACGCTCTCGTCGACGGATGCAATTTCCAGATCGATCGATCGATCCAGCGAAATGAGACCCCTGTGCCACGCCGCTCCCGCTCGCAGAGGCTCGGGATGGGGTCGGATGGAAAGGGAGAAGGAGGGAAGGACGGAAGGGACCCTACACGAAGAGCCTACGACTCTCCTACCCCCCCCCCCCCACTATGTACCTCTCCAGAAGAGCGTCTAGCCCCTCCAGGCTCCTCTCAGCCCCGGGCTCACAGGCGCCCCAAGGCCGAGGGAAGAGGAGAATCTCACATCCAAGCCGCAGTGTAAACGGTTGGTGTATGTGGAAATCCTGCTTCGCATACTTACTTACTTTACTTACTTCCTCGCCTACTTACCTACTTACCTACTTACCTACTCCCTTCCCCTCCCACTCCTTCGCGACCACGTCCAGACCGACGACCGACTACCAAAGCTCGGCTCCAATCGTCATCGAGCAGCAAGCAGGTCCTTGGAGCACCGCGCTGCGTGTACAGGAGAGAGATACTAGAATCAAAAGACTCAAATCCAAACATCGTCGCGGTCAGAGACCAAGCAAGACACCTGCCTTTCTTAATACAGTAAAGCGTTCCCAAAAGGCCTCTTATCCCCGCAGGGAAACAACAGCACAGCCTCCTATCTCCGTCCCTGAGCTAGATGAAAGAGTCGGATGATCGAGAAAGCAGAGAGGAGAGATTGGAAGAACAAGTCGCCTCGGGCCTTGGGCATGATAATTTAAAAAAAGCATACAAAAACAGAAAAAAAAAAAAACCAAGAAAAAAACCAGAAAAAAACAGAAAAAACCAGAAAAACACACACACAGTCCCAGCTTCGCTTCGTAAGGTTACTATCGCAGGACTTGATGACAAGCAGCCCGCTACACGTCCAACCCCCCCCCCCCCCTCCCTCTCTCTCCCAACCCAGCACCGAGACCTACCTACACACACAGGCAAGCCCACCAATCATTCCAACCCAGAACGAACAAAAAGCAAAAAGCAAAAAGCAAAAAACGCGGAAGCGGCAGCGCGTCGACTTCGATTCTCGGTGACGAGCGCTCGGTGGCAATGCTTCTCCTCCCCTTGACAGACCGACCGCCTAGACTACGAAGAATGAGCGCGTGAGCTGGGTGATTCAACGGATGCGATGCTGGATTGGGATTGGGATTGAGAGGCAGGGGGCATAAGGGCATGAGGGGAAGCAGGTAAGCGAGCATATGTATACCAATCCATCTGCTCATGGATATAAATTCTCGAGGAGGGGATTTGGCTTTGAAGATGGCTTTAAGACGGTCCCCAAAACGGCTTTACCTTAAGACGATCGGGTCCTCAAGCGCTCGGATGCGGTCCTGGGATGGATGGGTACGGTCGGTAGTCTGTCCGTCCCAAAGAGGCTGACTTGTGTGGTAGAAAGCGACGATCCAAGCGGTTATCGATTCGAAGCCGTCTTTATCCTTTTCATCGGATTGTAAGAATAAAAGACGAGCTCCACACAAGCGACAATCGCAGCCGATTAAGATAGGTCCATCTTTAGCCCCCCATCTGGAGGATGCAAGTCGTCTGTTTTCGGGATTTATGCGATGTCAGGGTGTCTGTCGGCTTGGGGGGATCCGTTACTAAAGCGAGCTGATGCTAAGTAGCGTCTTGGGACGGTCTTTTTTTTTGTAAGAAAAAAAGGAGATGGTCATCGGATGATCAGCTGATTGTTCAGAGAATACCCTTCTAGATCAGGCAAGAACTCACGTGAATCCAAACCCAAGGGGATCGAGCGGTCCTGGGAGCACTCGCTCACTCGCTCGCAAAGCTGTCTCTACTCTCCACGATCCACCCAACACGCAACCGAAAAAGAAAAAAAAAACCACTTACTTTTCCATTCCCAAGTCCCAATCCCCAATCCCCAATCCCCAATCCCCAATCCCCAATCCCCAATCACCAATCCCCAATTCCCCGTCCCACTTCCCAATTCCCCGTCCCAATCCCCACCCCCCAATCCCCACCTCCCATTCCCCATCCCAGATCATCTCCAGCCATAAGATCGTATCAGACCCCAGAGAAAAAGCCAAGCTGTTCACTCTGATACCGAAGCGAACGGACGAGTAAAGAGGATCATGATGGGAGCGAGATTCCTTCGACGACGATGGTGGGTGGGTGGTGGGTGGGTCAGGAGTTAGTTGTATTGGTGTATAGGTATGTTGTTGTTGATGATGTTGTTGATGATGATGATGATGATGTGATGATCGGAGTGGATATCTGCAGGCTAGACTAGACCAGACCAGACCAGATTAGGGAGGAGAGGAGAGGGGAGGGGAGGCGAGGGGAGGGAGCTGCAGGTGTGTGTATGTCTGTCTGGACTGGACTGGACTGGACTGGACCACTAAAAATCGAAAGGAGGAAAGAGAAATAAGAGAACAAAGAATCGCATCGATAGAGAGATGATCAGGATGATGATTCGAGCTTTCAATTACTAACAAATCAATTCGTACACACGACTATCACGGCCCCCCGTCCCATCCGTCCTCTTTCCGATCCTTAGCTCGTACATACACCCTCGACGGCGCCTCGACCATATCCGGCGTGGATTCACGGGCATAGGGCGCTGGTTGGCGGGGATAGGAGTCCACGCTGGCCGCCCTCGACCCCACGGGGACCCCGTCGCGACTTTCTTTGCGGTTGCAATGCCGGTAGTACAGGAGCACACCTCCGATGACCAGGAGGACGATCAGCGCCGAACCCAAGCCGACCATGATCTTGGCCGTGGGGGAGATGTTGGGATGGGACGGCGCGGGGATGCGGGCTTTGAGGATCGCAAAGGAGGTTTGGGTTCTGTTCGCGCTTGTTAGTTTCCGATACGAGGAGCCAAGCAGTGATGGTGATGGTGATGGTGATGGTGATGGTGATGGTGATGGTGATGATGATGATGATGATGAGGTGTGTGTGTGTGTGAGAGTGAGTGAGAGAAGAGAGGACTGACTTGGATATCGCGTTGGATTTCCGATCCCCCTCGGGGAGGATGGTGAAAACATGTGACCGCACCATCGTGCCCGAAGTTTCATCCTCGAGCACGAGCGTGTAATCCGTTGCCGGCAGGTCAGCGGGCGGCGTCCATATTAGATGGGAATTGGTGATGTGTGCTGAGCATGGTATCAGTATGAAGTGGTCTGATGGGTCTGGGTCTGATGGGTCCACGGTGGAGAGGCGGGAGGCTTACCGGCGATCGTATCCGCATCGTCGACACGTGCGACTTGGCTATTTTGGAGCCGCAATCGGGCGGGGCCTGACGCCCCTGAAAACGTGATGTTGAAAGGGGTTCCGGCCTCGAGGCTGCTGAACACGCGATGGGTGAAGTGCAGATCCAGATCGGGATCCAGAGCCAGAGACCGCGGCTTCGCATCCCCCCGGGGCAGTAGGATGGGGATGGGGTTGGGCCGTGACAGAGGAACGGCTGCTGATCTGGCGGGTGCATAGGCAGCGAAGACGAACAGCCCGACGAGGACTCGATCCCACGTGTGTGTCCTCATCTTGGTCTACACTGGAATCGGGGAATCGGGGCAATCGGGGCAATCGGGGCAATCGGGAATCGGGGCAATCGGGAATCGGAAATCGGGAATCGGGCATCGGGCATCGGGCATCGGGCATCTGTCATCTGTCACCTGAGGCGAGGCGAGGCGGAGGTTCCTGAACCTGGAAGACTGGTCGGGAGGCCAGTCCGGCGATGGGCAGCGAGACGTCCCTTCCTTATGTATATGATTGCGGTGGTCGCAGCAAACTTCCGACCGGCGCGCCGTGCCTTGGCTCTGGAAGACGCAAGAACCAGCGTGGTTTCAGGGCCGAAATGCCCAAGATAACAAGCCCATCCCACCACGGTCGATTGGAGCCGAGGGCGCAAAAGCAGCATGCGCAAGCCCTTGGCCCTGGAGACTTGGCCCCCAGCCACCGCCCGATGCGGCGATGCCATGCCACCTGAACCCGACCGTTGGTCGCTCGGGCGTCCGAGCCGTAGGATGAAGCAGAGGATGAGGAGATGAGGGGATGAGAATGGGCATTGGCATTTTGGCATGTTGGCATGGTGGCATGGTGGCATGGTGGCATGGCATGGCATGGCCGGAGCGAGGAGCGAAGCCGGTGATGGTGCAGTGAGGGAGTGCAGTGTAGTGAGTGAGTGCAGTGAGTGCCGTGAGTGCAGCGCAGAACAGAACCGAAATCAACAAACAACATGGACCAAGGTGGACGGGCTAGAACGTTTAGCGATGTACGGTAGATCCTCCAATCCGTAGATACCTACTACCTACCGGTACCTACCTACCTACCTACCTACCGATACCTACCGACCTGACCCAGCTCCTCCAGACTCCAGTATATAGTAAAATGCAGTCCTCCCGTACCCTATAAGCAGCCTACATCCTGTAATACACAGCTGCACAGTCAGACATCTAGTTGATCCCTTATTTAATATCCCCCTCGGCCAAAAGTCTCTCCGAATCGCCTGAATCTTGGCGTGCGCCGCTTTAGGGCGGGGGGCCGGGGGTCCAGGGCGGAATGGAGATGAACAAGACTCATCTCCTTATCCAACCAGGCCAGCAATCATCTCTCCTCACGGGGGTGCACGTGGGGTGTCTTGGTTTCCATTGGCCATCTTTCACGTGGGTGTGGGTGTGGGTGTGTTTATTTATATTAGACATCAATGATCTCCGTTTCTTATTAACTAGGTCCTGTCCTTTATTACTGCTATCCATTATTACTGCTATCCTCTATTACTACTATCCTTTACTACTACTATCCTCTACTACCGGTACCACTGTCCCCTACCACTCCTGTACCTACCTCCTCGTACACACAGAATCTCGCGGTCGATCGATCGACCGACCAACAACCAACATCCTTGGGAAACCGGTGGGCCGGGTGAGAGACCCGGTACCAGTACGTAGATACCGACCGATCTTTCTCGTACCACTCTCCCTCGCCACTTCCGTTCGCTTCTGCAAGCCACCTGAGCCACCTGAGCCACCTTGCGTCCACGAGTGCTGGCTTGAAGCAGCTCCTCAGCAAAGGCACCTGATGCCGTCCGTCCCTTACTTGTATGACCCCGCACCTTCCTTCCCGATGCCCGCTTCTGGCTCGGGATATCGACTGATGTTTAATTGCGAGTCATGAGGCGAGAGAGAGCAGCTGCCTCGAAGGAGGGGGTTGGTCCAGTGACCTGGTCGCGAAGGAGACTTGGGCGCATCCGCGGATACACATACCAGACCCTACGGTATCTACCGCTCATCGTCGACGTCGACCACAGTAGGGCTTTCTGGGTGGTGTGGGGCCTATGTGGGGGGAGGATAAGCGACGACTACCGGTATACCTACATAGATAGGGACTTGTATGTATGTATGTATGTATATACGTAGGTATGTATGCATGTATCTGTCCATCTATCCGTCAAAGTACACCATCCGCGGACTCTCAACCGCATCGAGCTTTCCTTCCTTCCTTCCTTCCTTCCTTCTGTCTTTCTTTCTTTCTTTCTTTCTTTCTTTCTTTCTCTCATGCCTGCCTGCCTGCCTGCCTGTCCCAGCCCGCTCGTTCGTACATCAACGCTCCGCTTCGCGCCTACCCTGCGCCGCGAAGCGAAAGTCGGGGGAGAGAGGCTCAAGCCAGGAAACCGGGGCCAGAGTGCGGCAGGGCAGTAGTGAATGAATGAATTGCGTTAGCCGTTAGTCCGAAGATGAAGAAGACGAGGAAGAGGAGAAGAAAGGGCCAGAAGTAGCAGCGCCAAAGGTTCGCTGACAAATACAGGGAGAGCCGAGAAGAGCCGGGAAGAGAGGATTGTATACCACTTCCACGAAGCCGGTGCTGCGGGAAGAGTATGTGTGTGTGTGTGTGTGTGTGTGTGTGTGTGTGTACATGTGCACTGATAGCATATGTAGTCTACAGATAGATAGATAGATAATCGAGCTATTACCGTATATACCGGTAGGTGGTTTGGTAGGTAGGTACGTACCGGTAGGTAGGTAGGTAGTTTTAGTTTGGAAGGTTGGGAAGGTTGGGAAGCCGGCTAGCGCAAGGAGCAGAAACCCTCTTTTTTACGGTGCTGTGCTGTTGCTCGACCTCCGGTCGTCCCGTCGCTGCCGCTTCTCTCCTGAAGAGGCACTGTCGCGCGGCTCGTCTTCTTGCTCAGTGTGAGGGGGATTAATCTAATCTATCTCGAGAAGAAGAAGAAGGGGAAGAAGAAGAAGAAGAAGACGAGGAAGAAGATTAATCTATCTCGAGAAGAAGACTAAGAAGAAGAAGAAGAAGAAGAAGAAGAAGGAGAAGGAGAAGCGCGCTCGCTACTTACTGTTTGTTGTATGCCTATCGACCCTCTCCGGATTTGACCGGTATCCATCCTCTACGGAAATCAAGAGTTCCAGGACTAGCACGGCATATAGAAGAACATCAAACAAGAACCGACCCCTATCTACTACGTATTTACTCCCGTACGTACTCTACTCTACCTACTCTACCACGCCTCTCGGCCTCTTCATCGAATCCTTAGCGAGCACCTCCTCGAAAGCTCGCACAACGTCATGCTCATGCAGCCAAGTCGTGCCCGAGCCCCTCTTGGCCCTGGCCCTCAACTCCCCATCCGTCTCCCGCGTCTCGGCCCTAATCTTCCTCGTCTTCATCTCGTTGTTGGCGTGCACGACCTGCAGCAGGCGCACCGCGTGCGGCCTCCTCGTCGCCTCGTACAGCTCCAGCGCGCGCCGGATCTCGCCCGGCGAGGGCCCCTCGGTCGCCGCAGGGGGGAAGACGGACGTGATGGATCGGTAGAGGGCGTAGGCATCGTCGATGGCGAGCGAGCCCCCGGTTGCGAAAGCCCCCCCGTGGGCGTGCGCCGCGTCGCCGATCAGCGTGACCCTGCCGTTGCCGAAGACCCAGGTCGGGAGCGAGGAGCCGCTGAAGTAGTTGGGGTAGTAGCGGATGTCGGGCGTTACGTCCGCGAGAGCCTTGACGATTGGATTCCAGTCCTGGGGAGGGAGTAAGTAACCCCACGATCAGATCAGCGCCGTCCCTGGGTGGGGTAACGAGAGAGAAGGAGAGAAGAGAGAAAGAAAGAGAGAGAGAGAGAGAAGGAGAGAAAGAAAGAGAGAGAGAGAGGAAGGAAGAGAGATGGAATGAAAGGAAATTTTTGGCTGGACTTCGGGCTCGGAAACGCTTACCGCGTACTTCTCCTTGAGGAGCTTCACGTTCGCTTCTTGGTCCCACGGTGCTCCGTCTCTGAACTTCGCGATCGCGACCGGGTCGGCGGGATCCGCGTAGATTCCGCCTTGGACGGTGAACAGGTCCCGGGCTAGTCGTGTGGCGAAGAAGTTCGTGTCTGGTCCCCACCAGTGAGTTGAGTCCAGCGGTACCCCTTCAATCGGCTCAACGAGAGAGGCGTCGAAGATACCGCGGAAGGCGGTATGCCCACTCCATTCCAGCTCGAAGTCTGGAGCGAAAGCGGTCCTGACACCCTGGGGGGACTTCTCGTCAGGTCTCATTTTGGGGGAAGGGGTGAGGGGGAAGGGGTAGCTGGAATCAACATACTGAACGGATGCCATCAGCTCCAATCAGTATGTCGGCCGTTGCAGTGGTGCCGTCTTGGAACTCCAACTTCACATGATCTTGCGGATCGACCGTGGCAGACACTATCTTCTTCTTCAAGTGTATGGTATCGCGGGGGACGTGCTTGAGTAGAGCTTGCTGGAGATGGCCGCGATGGAACCTCGCGGTATAATGCAGAGGCTCCGAGACGTTTTCATAAAAGTCCTCGCCGATGATCTCGTTTGTCTTCCAGTGGCGGTAGAACCTGGAAACGGGGTTGGGTCCACGGTATCCCACCTGGTCACTGATGCAGTCTTCCAGGCCGAGTCTTTGCAATGTTCTCAGACCGCTGGGTTACACGACCTCTCATCAGCACGCTTCTCTCCTGACTGATTTCAGAGGCGGTCGGTCACACCAGGAATTCTGGTAGGGGGGAGTGAAATGGATGCGAGAAGTGCCCATCGTTTCAATCATCTGCTTACTTGGGTCCGAGAGTGATACTGGCTCCAATCTCCTTCAACTCAGTGGCCTTTTCGTACAGCTCGACACTGATTTTGGGATGTTTCCGAAGAGCGATTGCCGCGGTGAGTCCCGCTATCCCCGTCCCGACAATGGCAACTCTGAGCAGGCTTGGGCCCTTCTCTATACTGCCCATCGTACGTGGATGGAGATTTCTCAAGTGGGAATATCCAGCAAGAAGATGAAATAGAGAATGGCTGAAGTGGTCGCAGTCAGGATAGTCGGGATGAGATTGAGAGAAATGTTACCCCGCGACTGCAGCTGGACCACTCTGGACCTCCTGGCCCTTGCAGATAGATAACAGCCCGAGTGGGTGGTGATGAGCAGCGATTCAGTCGTGGCGTCCGTTGCAGAGAAGCATCTCAATTCTATTTTCGTAACGATCTACAAATACGACGAACATATCAACAACGCATGAATATATTAGACGATCAAACACGAACATCTTAGAACACAAGCTCAGAGACGAGACTTCATCACGACCAGGGCGCCGAAACACGTGAGCAGAGCCTCCTTCCTCTTGCACTTCCGCGGTTTGCCCGACGGCTTGAGGGCCCGAACATCCGGCTCATCTCAGTCCAGTCTCCAAGTCCAAGTCCAAGTCCAAGTTCAAGTCCAAGTCCAAGGCCGCCATCGTTCCCCCGTGATCAATTTGTTACTTCTCGGAGCTTCACATATTACCCCCGTCATGGAATTCCATTCATCCGGTCTGTACGGTCCGGAAGATCTTATTACGCTGCGGCTAGACGGAATCCCACTTATGACTAGACATGTCTACAAATATATATACGATGTATATACATATATATAACGACGCCCAGTCCTCGTTTTCTAGTTTTCTACTTTTCCTTTCTCTCTCATATTGTTCTCTTCTCTACACCTTCCCTTCCCTTCCCGCAAGTTAGTCTTGATAACAATTATATTAATCCGGAGGAATCAAACGGAAGAGAGGGAATACGCCACCACCATGTCTCTTCCCAGAGACTTCCTCTGGGGCTTTGCTACGGCTTCGTGAGTCATTCCATCCTCAAGCTTCCATATCCTGCCCTCTACTCGAAAAGCTTCAACTGACACCTCCAGCTACCAGATTGAAGGTGCTCCAGAGGCAGACGGCCGTGGCCCCTCCATCTGGGACAAATTCTGCACCATCCCCGGCAAAATCGCCGACGGCTCCTCCGGCGCCGTGGCCTGCGACAGCTATAATCGCACCGCCGAAGACATTTCTCTTCTTCGAGAGACTGGCGCCAATGCCTACCGCTTCTCCATCTCATGGTCCCGTATCATCCCCCTAGGCGGCCGAAATGACCCGGTCAACCCCGCCGGCATCGCCTTCTACAAGAAGTTCGTAGAAGACTTGCTTGCGGAAGGGATCGTGCCGTTCGTGACACTGTTCCACTGGGATCTGCCGAATGAGCTGCACGAGCGGTACGGCGGGTTGTTGAACAAGGAGGAGTTTGTGGCTGATTACGCCAATTATGCACGACTGCTATTTGAGGCGCTACCCAAGGTCAAGTATTGGATTACGTTCAACGAGCCGTGGTGTAGCTCGATCCTGGGGTACAACACGGGGTTGTTTGCTCCTGGGCATACGAGCGATAGGACAAAGTCGGCTGTTGGGGACAGCAGTAGGGAGTGCTGGCAAGTAGGGCATAACATTCTGATTGCTCATGGGGCGGCAGTCAAGATCTACAGAGAGGAGTTTAAGCCCAAGAATGGTGGCGAGATTGGCATCACGCTAAATGGTCAGTCCCCCAACTGTCCATTCTATTGAAGAAATCAGGGCTGATATCAGGATAGGCGACGGCGTCTACCCCTGGGACCCAGCCGACCCCCTCGACGTCGAAGCCGCAGAGCGCAAACTCGAATTTAGCATTTCTTGGTTCGCCGACCCCATCTACCACGGGCGCTACCCAGCATCCATGATCAAGCAGCTCGGGGACCGCCTGCCCACCTTCACCCCCGAGGAACTCGCTTTGGTCAAGGGATCGAACGACTTCTACGGCATGAACCACTACGCCGCCAACTACATCAAGCACAAAACCACGCCCTCCAAAATCGACGACTACCTCGGCAACCTCGAGACCCTCTTCGAGTCCAAGACTGGGGAGATCATCGGCCCCGAAACGCAGTCCGTCTGGCTCCGTCCCAACCCCCAGGGCTTCCACAACCTCCTCGTCTGGATCTCCGAGCGGTATGCCCACCCTGCCATCTACTGCACCGAGAATGGCACCTCCCTCAAGGGCGAGAACGACCTGCCGCTCGAGCAGATCCTGGACGACGAGTTCCGCGCCGAGTACTTCCGGGGCTACGTCAATGCCATGGCCAAGGCCGTCGAGGAGGGGGGCGTCGACGTGAGAGGCTACCTGGCCTGGAGCCTGATGGACAATTTCGAGTGGGCCGAGGGTTACGAGACGCGCTTTGGAGTTACGTTTGTGGACTATGAGGGTGGGCAGAAGAGGTACTTGAAGAAGAGCGCGAAGGTTCTGGGGCCGTTGTTTGAGTCTTTGATTAAGAAGGAGTAGAAGACATACGCGAGATGAGAGTTGAGATTTGCAGAAAGGAAGGGTGGGCAAACTTGGGTAGAGAGATTCCGGATCTGGATATGAATGGAGGAGGGGCGCGTTGGCAAAGTAACGACCACTTAAGGAGGTTACAAAGATGGGCTTCAAGCTGTAGATGGCAGAACGAAATTGCAAAATTGGGTTCTTTTGACATGGGATCTTTGTTGAGTACTACTACTACACGGCCTCGATCCTTAAGGGCGTGCGCTTCTATCTGATCGTATGCAGCTCTACGCCTCTGTCCAGCGTGTCGAAATCCTCGACGCTTTTGATCATGTAATCCCATTATCATCATCCACCCATGCAAAGCCAGTTAGTTTAACGCTCAATCGTCCCTAATATCGTCACCTCCTCTCCACCCCCATACGCACTATGCTTGTTCTTCTTCCCACCACTCTTCAACGCTCCCTTTGGCGGTCCCTTCCCCCGATTATCCCTTGCCAGCTCATCTTCCGCATCACTCACATCACCCAGAATGGCCTTTGCCTGCGCCGCCGTCCCCGAAGCCTCCCCATGAATGGCGGCCTTCTTCTGCCTCGTAATCTCCGCCTCGCGCTCATTCTCCTCCTTCTCCTTCAGCAGCTGCATCTGCTCGAATTCCTCGTTCTCGCGCACGATATCTGCCGTCTCCTCCAGCTTCAGATCAGACATCTTCTCGAAATGCTTCAGGTCGATGTGTTTCTTCTTGGGGCCGATCAGAGTCTGGGTGATCTTGTCGCTGTTGATGCGCTCTTCCTTGTTGAACTTGAGCTTGACCTGGCGACGGCTGCGGTGCGGGAACAGCTTGGCGATCATCTCAAAGTCGGTGCCGAACTGGGCGAGGCCCTCGTAGAAACGGGCCGTGGCGGCGTGGTCCCAGAGCTGCGCCTTCTCGCGCTTCATGTAGGTGCCGGAGGTGACGACCCGAGTGAAATCATCTTCCAAGACGTGCTGCATTATCCCTTCGTCGACTTGGCCACGGGCTTGGCGATCAATTTGCGTAGAGGTATCATCTACAACTAGCTGGTTGTTGACAAGTCGCATCTGAATTCCGGATCCTGGTACAATTGGGGCTTCTTCTGCTTCTTCTGCTTCCGCGGCTGGGGCAGCCGGCTCCGCTGGCTCAGAGGGTCCTGCTTCTCCTTCGGCTGCTCCTTGTCTTGGTGCGGCATCTACGAGCGCAGTGACCTCGGGATTTTTTCTCTTCATCTTTTCTCTCGTGCTTTGATCATATTTCTCCCTGATCCGGGCCTTTATCTCCTCGTGCTTGCTGAACTTCTTACCTATGCGTAGATCTTTACAGAGATCCATCATGGTCAAAGTTGACTGATCAATCTCTTCATCAGAAGCGCCATCAGGGGTGGCGGCACGTCGCTTCCTTCCCCTAGTTGCTGCTGCATCGTTCTTCTTCCTACGAGGCTTCTTGGGTCCAGCTACACGTCGAGGTTTGTTCAGTTGGATGTCGACGGTTGTTCTAGCGTCGGCCCCGTCCTCTTGTGGTTGAACCTTCTTCCGCTTGGTAGCTTTTTTCTTTGGCTTCGGGGTTGCTTCTCCTCCCACCACAGAAGCAGGTTGTTCAGCCACCTCACCACCAGATGTACCATCCGGGTTCAAGAATCTGGTTGGCACGATCTCGGAATTCTGACCGACTTCTCCGGGTCTTAATGCAGCCGCATTGTCTCTAGCGGGTCCATTTGCGGCTACGTCACCGCCAGCACGACCCATATTCGACGGACCATTCTGAGTTTCCTCGGGAAGCCGTGCGATATTTTCTGGCGTTGGATATCGGTGCTCGGGTGGAGCTGGAGAGTTGTCTGGGGATACTATTCTCGCGAGCTCGACTACTGGGCCTGTATCAGGCGCAACAGATGTAGACGCGAGCGAAATTTCTGGAGTAGCAGGTATCGAGCTGATAACCGTAGTCGGAAGAAGGGGCGGAATTGGTGTGTGTTCTGGAGATGTAAACAAGCTAGGGACTCCCATCTGGGTACTCGGCCCATCCTGGCGTTCTGCAGGTATCCGGTTCGTGGGTGGTTCGGAAAGGCTTGCGATTGTCTTTTTCTTGGGGGGAATAATCTTTGCGCGAGGGACCGGGTTTTGAGGTTGCTCGACGGACGGCTCGACTGCAATTGTAGATTTGGGAGAAGAAGGTACTTCGTTCTCGTGATCTGGTGACTCAACCTGACTCCGCACTTGTAATACAGGCGCGACGGGCTCCTCTGCCGGTATGGGAATTCGCTTTGCTGGCGGCGGCGCAACGTCTGCCTCTCTCTCTTTTCTCTTCAATCCTGACCGAACTGCATGTCCGTCCTGAGTTACTGCAGCAACCGCCTCCGGGGCCTCCTGACTCGGCTGGGGTAACGAAGCCTCGACGACTGGCGCAGCAGGTACGTCGACATTCTGCGAAACTGGTACCGAGTGGAGATCCTGTTGAGATGACTGAGACGCTTCTGGAATTTGAGGGACACTCGGGCGTGATGACGCGGTAGCTGTAGAGCGCACCGGCTTCTTGGGCGCAAACTTCTTACTTCTTCCCTTCAACATGATTGCTATCGAGTATCTCGCATCGGGTGTGTAGTGGAGATCTAGGTTATGTCGAGAATACGAGTCGTGAAGTTGTAGTACGGTCGAGGTGGTGGGGGAGGTTAAGATTCGAATAAAGCGGGCCCTCAACGCTAGCCAGCTAGCGGGAGCTCGTACATGTAAGTATTCTTTACTTCAACCTCCCTCAAATCTCATCCTCACCATCAACACCACCATCACCCCCTTACGACTTCAGGACAACTTCACGACTGGCTACATTCACGGCAGCAGATCTCACCAAACCATATCCCGTCTGCCAAGTTCATGTGCCAGCTGGCTCGCCCTGCCTGAATGCCTATTTCAACTCTTCATCAACAGACTCCGTCTAATCCATCGCTCATCAAGATGGAGGATAGGAAGAGATCAGCTGGCGATGATCTTGCGCCTCCAACCAAGAGACAAGCCGTCAATGGTAAAGCCTCCGCAGATGCCGATATGCCCTGGGCCGGCGATCTAGAGGTATGTTGCTGTCGCCGTCGCGACCTTATCTCCCTCCCATCAGCACGGGTTTCTCCCCGGCCCAATGCCCCCCCACCTGTACCAGATCTCTGCTCCTCATATATCAAGTGCCTGACGGTGTACGATCTATCTGGCCGGTGCTAATGCGCAGCTTGCTGTCCACAGCACGGTTGCTTAGCTTGCAGACCTACCTGTCCTACAGCATCGTACAACACCTCCTACCAATGCCACCTCCATACCCGTTTCTTCGTCTCGATCAGAAGCACATCACAGGCTGGGAGTTCATGCTAACACGTGTCGACTTATAGCACTACCAGAAAGATGCGATCTTGCGCCAGTTGCAGGAGTACAAGCGGGATAAGAGCACACTTGAATCGCAGTTGAAAAGTATCCAATCCAAGGCCGCGCATCATGATGATCATCTTCGCGTAGTCGATGCTTGGTGGTCGCAGGTAATGTCATTCCGGACACGTGCTCGCGCATAGACTGACTGGGGATAGTTATTGGACGAGATTAAGCTATTGGCACAAGATGAAATCCCTGAGGTTGATAATGATGGTGAGCGCGTCCTCGTGAGCCGAAGCCACAAGCTCATGAATTCTTAGCTACGTTCCCTACCGCCCTCCACTTCAAGGGCAGCGAGGAATTTCAAGGTCATCTTACTTCCAAAGCCAAGGAAATTAAAGCAAAACTACAGGTCATTTTCACAAGACTGGCTGCTTCCCGGGGAGAACAATCGCCAGATATCGAGGATTTGCAATCCAAGCTCACAAAATTATTGGGCGCCCAGAAGGAGTTTGTGATCAAGCTGGACAGACTTCGCACGGAGAGGGATGAGCTGAATGAACGTCTGGAAACCGCATCCCTTCGTTACATTAAAGCCGAGAAGAAATATGACCGAGCGAGAAGCGCCGCCGTTGCCAAGCTTGAGCAGCAGGCCATGAACGGATCTGGAAACAGTGCTGGTAGTGGTAATGGGAATGCGGAAAATGGTGATGTCGAGATGACAAATGGAATATCTGAGGCCAACGAAGCTTCCCAGACCGCATACAAGGAAGTATTGGCTGTAGCTGAGAAGCAAAGGGAGCAGATGGAGATTATCAATGCCGAGAACAAGGCCCTGACTGAGCAGCTCACAGCGGCTTCTACTCGGCTTTCCAGCTTGACAGAGGATGACTACGCAAGAACCGAGCTGTTCAAGCAGTTCCGAAGTCAGCATGAGGATGTCATTCGTCGAATCAACCATTTGGAGGCCACCAATATTCAACTCCGGGAAGATGCCGAGAAGTACCAAGCCGAACGAACCGCCTACCGAGTCCAGGTTGAGGGAGAGTCCGAAATGATTACGGGTGATCTCGAGAATCAAATGCAAAGAGTCGAGACCGATCTCACGAGAATTCGGGCTGTCAGAGACGAGCTACTTGCCGACCAATATATCCGCAAGCCTGGCCAGGATCAAGAACGCCCGTCTGCCAACCATTTTAAGGAGCTCCTGGCCGGAAAAGATGAACGAATAGATGCATTGGAGTCCGAGGTTGAGCGATTGAAGGCCTCTATCAACGAGCAGCCCTGTGGCTTGACTCCGCGACCACAGATCGATTCGCTCGACTTGGAGGCTCTTCGTAGAAAATATGAAACCCTGGAGCTCCAATTCGATGCTATCAACAAGGAGTTACCTGCGATGCAAAATGCCTATAAGCGAGTTCAAGCTCTGTCGACAAAGAAAGTCATTGATCTGAGCGTCTTGGAGGAGAAGATCCAGGTCCTCTCTGCTGAGAAGGCCAAGGCTGATCAGAAATATTTCGCTGCCCGGAAAGACATGGAAACCCGAATCGTGGAGGTCAAGGTGCTCAAGACTCAAAATGCCAAGAGCTCCGAGATCATCACCCAGTTAAAGGATGTCGAGACCGCGAACCGAACCCTACTCGGAAATCTAGAGAAGCAACTGAGTGATATGAAGCAAACCAACACCTCCACCATGGCCGAGAACAAGAAGATGGAGTCGACAAGCCGCGAAGCTACCAGCAAGGCAGAAGCTCTTGGCAAGCAAGTTACTGAACTTTCGAACCTGCTGAAGTCGAAAGATGCACACAACTTAAATACTAAGCAACGAATTCAAACAGTTGAGCTGGAATTGGAGAAGCTTCAGGTGAAGTACGATCATGTCCAGAGGGAGAGAGACCAGTGGAAGAATAAGAGTCTGAGCAACCAGTCTGGGGAGGAGGAAATGCTTCGGGTGAGTTTTTCTAACCTTTTTTTTTTTTTTTTTTTTTTTTTNTTTTTTTTTTTTTTTTGGCTCGCGCCTTGCTAACAATCTCAGACTCTCGCTCTCTGCACTATTTGCCGCAAGGATTTCAAGAACACGGCAATCCGAAGTTGTGGTCACACATTCTGCAACAACTGTGTTGCTGATCGTCTTGCAAACCGGATGCGAAAATGCCCCAACTGCTCCAACCCGTTCGATAAATCGGACGTCATGGCGATCCATCTTTAGCATCCCTGCAATTTTGCCGTATCGAGACTTGGGTATGGATTTTCAGCGACGCCTTTCTAGCGGGACAAAAAGGGTTATCATTCCATTGTACGATTCCATAAGTTGTGTTGTGGCCAGATGCTTTCTGCATAGCTCGAAGAGACGATTTCTCTTACCTGTAGACCAGATTTTCTTTACAAATTCACCCCTGGCGAGGGTTCCACTAGTCTATTGGGATTGAATGCAGAACACTGCGGATGTATAGTAGATTACACACCAATGGGCGTCAAAATACAAAAGAAAAACGTTCAAGCTACGTATGCTATCGCCGTGAAGTCGAACCGAAGCCAGTGCTTTCGTGTCTCACGGATGAGCTCGAACCTGAGCTGCTTCGGGAAGGGCTCCCAAAGCTGCTGCCCCCATGGTTGCCACCAAGCCATGAAGTGTTGTTCTGCGGCGCCTGTTGTCCGTTTGCTCTGTTCCCAGCCAAATATCCTCCTGCTGCCCCTGCTGCTGCACCAGACCAGAAACCAGGTCTCCAACTCTCTTGCTGGCTCGAATATCGCTTGCCAGGATAGGGGGGAGGAGGGTCGTATGGATTACCACCACCCCCTCCGCCCCATCCACCTCCTCCATATCCACCTCCCGCTCCATATTGTCGGGGACGTCCAGCCGCTGGAAGTGCCTGTCCAGCCTTGAACAAGATCAACACCAATACACCAACGAATATCAACCCAAACAAAACCTTCCAAATCGTGCTAGCCTCCGTATCATTTCCCAGCGCCCCTCCCAAGAACCTCTGCTTGCCATACTTCTCCTGCCCCTTGTCTGTCAAAACCAACCGGTATTCTACCGCACAGCTCCCCTTCAACACATACGGATCCTCCCTGCTATCGTAGCCCTCACACGTCACCTCCGTGCTTCCCAGCTTGAAGTCGTCCGAAGTCTCGGCCGTGCAGCTCCATTCTACGTCTTCCTTGTTGTAAGAGCTGCCTTGGTTGATGCAGCGCATGCGATCGATGCTGTAGCGATTGCACCAGGGCCCGGAGCAAATCAGTTGCGGGATGGCAGGAAGGCGGCGGTGGGCTGTCTTTCCTTTGGCGCGCAGCGTGAGGGTGCTGACTTCCGAGAGGAGAATGGCGTCTGAAGGTTTCTTTTCGGGTTTCTTTCCGCAGAGGCCCGACGGGGTGAGGGTGAGGAGGGCGATGAGGGCGGGGAAGAGGAGCCGCATCTTGAACTGCCTCGAATACTTTTTTTTTTCTTTTTTTTTCGGAGTTGTATGGATATCGTATGTGTGTGTAGTTGGGGGGGTTTGGATACTTGCGATAGACGAGGCTCGAGGTTTTGTAGTTTGTCTGCGCGGCTGGTCATGAGCCCCTTGTGCTTGGCGGCCGGCCTTGCCGGAAAGGGGGTTGACACTATGCTATTATACTTGTTACTAGATATACAATTGTGAAAGTGCTGAAACTGGATGAGAGATATGAGCGAATCTCGCTGAACCCGACCGCATAAAAGGGGGCTCCGAAGACGGAATTAGCATAGGTGTTCCCTAATCGTCGGTAACCTTAAATAATCCTTGTAAAAAAACGACCCGACTCGACTTGCAGTGCAAATCGGAATCACCAAAGTGGGACACTTTCATCAAAACACTTATTAGACTACAACCATTGATAGAAACCTAATAAAACATATATCCACATGCTTAGAAATTGTTGCTTTACAAATATGTATCACAATTGTAAGAATGCATCTGGCCATTGCAAGTCAGAACATGGCGATGTAGTTGAAATATGTATTTACACGGCAACTCTGACATACACGCATAATGAAACAGTACCTTCCCTCGCTCCTAGACTCATATCAACGTCATCGTCATCGTCAAGCTTAGAATCGCTACTATCCGAAGCTGTTGCTAAGCAAGTCATCATCTCTTCCTTTTTTAACGTCTTCGGAATCGATTTTAGTAGCCCGATCTTAATGAAGGTAAAGATTTGGACACGAGGTAAGCTTACCTAGTTAGTGAACGGACCTATACCATCAAGACTACACCAAAAGTAGGTACTAGAGCAACTATATATAACAGAATTGTATTAATTGACCAATATTATAATCAATAGATGGTTAGATTCTCTATCAATTTTTTAAGGGCAAAAGTAGGTGTCCCGGGTTGCTGGGTGTCCCACTTTGAGGGTGCGGACTTGCTACAGCAGGTCTGTATATATATATAGATATATATTTCCAAATCAAGCTTAAGGTAACGACGATTTATAACGGTTTGCTGACTCGTTTTCGAAAGGATTCGAGGACGGCAAAGATCAATTTCTGGGCCCAGACTAGACTCCTAGCTTGACTTGCTCTCTTTTTGCCAAGCACACGATAACTTACCTGGATAAACAGTGAGATAAAAAAATATTGAGATAACACGATGCTGGAATAGTGAGCGAACTTGGATTTACCGGTTCATGTTGACGGTTGTTAGTCGTCGGCAACTTAGTCGTCGGCAACAATCCAGCCTCGTGACTCTCACCGCCTTGCATGGGTAGCTATTCTGCCCCTATCAACAACTACAAGAGCCCTCCTGAACAGTATCCTTTCGATTCCGGTGCTGTGTAAATTCACCAAGTTCTCAAAATATTCAAGGGCCAGCTATTTATAACCCCCTGATCATGCGCCAACGAATCACTTTCATCCAAGAGCCGATCGATTCTATCGATCCCAGCAAGCTAACAGTCACCTCCAACTCGATATCCACCTCGGAACTCACAGCAGCGAGAGAAGAGAGGGTCACATTTGGAATTGATGGGCTGCCGCATGAGATGTACAAGGTTCTCAAAGGAAGCCATGAGCTGCATATCAGATGGGTTGAGGAGAAGGTGTTTGAGGCGAGGGTACCCTTTGTTGCGAGACTGAGTCCTGGATTACATGTTTTCTACACGCCATTGACGAATAATGGATCTTCGTATGTTCAAAAGCCCCGTAAAGCGAGACTTCGGCTGATTATTGAGGGAACTATTGTGTCCGCTTTTAAAAAATTTGTTTGGGGAGTTGGACTGTGTATCTCCTGAGGTATGACCTTTCCTTGTACTGAGAACCCGGATTAAACGAAGCGTAGGAATCCTTTACATCTCTACCTAGAGACCGCTTCTCCCATTCTGCAGCCATGCAATACTACTCTTCTCTTCCAACTCTCATCGACTTTATATCCTACATGTCACACAAGCTGTGTCCCTCCCGCTCTGCGAAGAACAAAGACCCCTCATGTCTCTCTCGGGTACAGGCCCTCTCCACAGCATCATCCCTCGACCTAGACTTCGACACCATCTCCCAAGCCGCAACGCTCTCCGCCTTCTTCGCACCGCAAACTCAGTCCCTCTCCCTTTCCAAGCCAGTGGCTCTCCCCTCCTCGCGAGTAGAAGTCGGGATCCTCTCCGTCGAAAAAGCCCGCGAAACGGAAGAGCTCTCCCTAGGCGGATTTCTCACCGTCCTAGGCGAATCGACCAAGCCATCTCCGACGCTTTTCTCCTTCCCTGCGCGCCATCATCCCCTCCCGCACTCTCAAACCTTCACGTCAAACTTCCTTGTGCCCACAGGACTACACCCCACGCTACAGCTCAACATCACTTCCTCGAGCCCTCCATTAGATGACAGAGCTTGTTCCCTACACGCCCACCTCACGCTTCCAAAAACATTTTTCATCGACAGATACCAGCTTTCAGACCCCTTATTCCTCGCCTCCAAAAATCTGTCTAAAGTCCACTACATCACCAGCCCCGTCGACCTCGAAGCCCCCGCCTACACGCTCCCACAATGGGGATCCTCCGCCCTGCTCTCCCTCTCCCCTCCCCCATCACCCCCAGCCTCCGAATCATGGACATCCCAAATCCCCCTGCACCTCCGCTATCTCACCCCCTCGGCCAAGTCCTCGGGCCTCACCCCTACCAAATTCCCCTCCCCCGTCCTCTTCTGGGCCTGCACCGCCGACGAGGGTACGAAATTCCCCACCAACCCCTTCGACCGCGTGAACCTCGGCTATGACGGCCTGTTCGGTCCCCGAACCCTGCTCTACCACCTCTCGCCCCGTGCGGCCGCAGCAGCAGCGGATGGCAGACTCGTGAGTAGCTTGACCGTGCCGGTGCTGGACCTGGACAGGAGCGGCTACGTCGAGAGCGCGACTGCGGCTGGTGTCGCGCTCGGCTTTGCATGGGTGTGTTGGTGCCTGGTGAGCGTGTGGAGGAGGAGCGGCCTTGGCTCTGGTATTGCGAAGAAGAAGAAGCAGGAGGCGGGCAGGGAGGAGAAGATGGAATAAACAGGGCGGCCGTCACATCGTCATACGTAGACGGAGAAGCCATTTCTCTCAATTCCGATCGATGTACGAAACCCTGCCATTTCGAATTAATATATCCATTCCATAGCCGCTTTTAGAATAATTGAACGTCCCGTGGAAATTTCTTGTGCCTCTTTTGTTGCACATCGCACCAATTGCTTTTTCGAGTCTGGATACATTCGGACTTGGCTTCGACTTCAGCAGCCGCTTATGTCGGCAAGCAAGTAGGTAGGCAAAGTTATTTTTTGTTGCACATCACACTCGATATTCCCATTGGTACCGAGAGAGACATTCGGGTCGATCCAATCAATGCATGTCTCACTTAAGCCTGGTCTGTCTGGCTGTCTACGGTATCCAAGTCGCGACTAGCAAGAGCACCACACACATAAACGAGGCAGACTCGGGTACAGATGCCACATGGACAAGTGTGGAGAGAGCAAGCAGCGCATGGAAACGAAAATCTCTTGTCTATCTATGGCTACATGTGCTTACTCGGGTAATCCCAGTTCCAGATAGCAGATCTTCGTCTAGGTAGTCTCTGAACCAGCAATGCCGGGACAGTGGTCAAATCAAAGTTATGTTATACATGCTGAACGCCACACATGCCGACGCCGTTTCGTCCCGTCCTGTTCCGGTCCGTTTTAATCCAACCGTCGCAGCAAGAACCTCAGAAAAGCTTCGTTTCCTCATCATTATATTTCTATTTTTTTTTTCTTCTACCTCTCTCAACAAGGAGCAGTGGATCTTGAAGAGGGATTCTATGACGGCCCGCCATGCGGTCCTTTCCCTCCATCTAGCAATAACTTTGGCTTGATAAAGCCCTCATCCAGCTGCCTGAACCACGCCGCGTGATCCTCCGATGTGCCATGCAACAGTGAGGAGATCGCCCCGCTCGCTGTAATCTGCGGACCCTCGTGGCTTGCGCTCCCGCTCGTCGGATATGGCTCCTCCCTTTCTCTCGGCGGTGGGCTACTTCGCTTCCTCTCCGCGCGTTTGGCCACAGGCGGCAAATCAGACGTATCGCTATCGATATCCAGATCCGATTCTTCTGCCGAATTGGGGTGCAGAAGCTCTTGCTCGCTTTCGCGCATGTCGCGGCCGCTGGAGTTTTTCCGGGCGAGGCCCTTGGGCGCATTGATGGGACTGGAGTTACCGCTCACGTAAGTGCCACGATCGTATTTTCTGCGGCCGTTCATGCCATCTAACTGAACAGACCCGTTCCTTCGTTGGGCGTTGCCGAAGCCAGATGAGTTTTGCTTGTAGTATGTGCCGCCTGGCACGGCCTCGATGTCAAATTCGTCGTCGGAATCAATTTCTTCGATAACGCCGGTGCGGATGCCGAGAATTTCGAGCATACGGGCTGTGGTTCCACCGAAGATGATGACAGTGAGCACCACGACGACCAGAACGGTGGCTTTTAAAGCCCATGCGTTTGCGCCTGAGAGACCGGCTGCAAGAGCGACTCCGACTGCTCCTCGGAGACCGGCCCAGAAGAGCATGGCCTGGTAGCTGTAGGGTAGCTCGTCGGCGACGTCCTTGCCTCGTCTCTTGGCTCGGTAACGGATGAACCAGTTGATGAGTCTCGAGAGCGGGAAGACGGCTGCCCATCTGGCAACACAGATTCCCATGACAGTGACGATGATGAAGAGAGGTTTGAATTCTAGCTTACTGTCGGTAAACAGCGACAGCCCGAGGTAGATGAAGATGAAATTCTCTGATAGTTGAGCCAGGACTTGGAAAAGGTACTTGGTGGTGAGCTGGGTTCGGCGTGACATGTTGTAGTAAGCGTAATGCTTAAGAGTGATCCCACAGAACAAGAGCGTGACAATTCCTGGAATTTTTTGGTTAGCGAGTCATAGACAAGAGTTCCCAACCGGACCACTCACCAGACATGTGCAAGCCATTGGAGAAGAAATAGCTGGCATATGCGATCAATATTATTAAGCAACTCTCAATCTTGGGGAATCTTCGAACATAGGTATACTTCAGAACAAGAGCCGTTCCAATACCCACACATACTCCAATGAGCAAGCTCCCAAAGAAGACAGCCAAGAAGATTCCAATACCCTCCATCAGGCTGACGAGGCCAAGAGTTCCTGCAGCTCCGCCTTCCTTGTATCTCTGAGCTGTCTCGAAAAGAACGATAGCTACAGCATCGTTAAGCATGGATTCTCCGAAGATGATTGTGTACAGCTTCGGGTCGACCTTGTAGGTGTTGAAAATGGCAAGAATTGTTACTGGATCCGTGGCCGACAATGTCGCTCCAACAGAAATAGCGTCGACAAAGGTCATGTCAAATCCATCAATCGGTATTCGGGTGTATACGAACAGGATAAGTCCTAGCACAATCGCGGATATGAAGGTCCCAGCAAATGCAAACGTCAGGATCGTCCCAATGTTTCGAAAGAAGTTCGCCTGGTGTAGTTCGTACCCCGAGCCTAGAATGATTGGAGGAAGCAGCAGATTGAAGAATATCTGGTAGTTGAAGCTGACGAGACTTTGTATTGATGTTCCGGAGCTCAGTCTGAGGATCAGGCCAACCGTCATACCTGGAGAGTCAGTATGGTCAATCGCATTTGGGAAAGCTGCCTACCAGCAAAGATCGATATAACCGTCTCGTGTACAGCTTCCACCTTCTTCTGCTGTAGCATGTAACTGGTGAATAGAGCTGCAATGAGCAGCATAATCATAATGAAGAGCGCCCATGAAGAGAAGATCTCCATCTGAGATGAATCCGGTCCTGTTCCCGTCAGCCTCGTTATCTTCTCACTCTCAAAGTGTCCTCCATACCATCTGGTGAATCATCTTCCGCCTCTCGTTCTGTATTACATCGATTAGCCTCTGCCTGCGATCCAATTCCACGGGGTGTAACGTACTCAGGAGCTGGTAGGCCACTCCTACGAGGGCCGTAGACATCTTGGCCATGTTGGTGATTGCGCGCGGGAGAGATTGTATGTCGAGTCGTAGCTCTGCAACGAGCAGCGTGCCGAGAGGAGAGGACGCATGTAACTGTTCGCGATGGTGCGTACGGTAAGAGGATCTGGAGTTTGGAGACGAGTCGTGGGCGATGAGCCAGTAGTCGTCTGGGATTAGTTGCTACTTAGGTTGCCGGTCTCCAAGAATGGATGCGGCTCCGCTGGACAGGATCTTGGATCGGGCCTGGCTATGCAATCGAATGTCGTGCAGAAGCCCAGGTGACTGAGATAAATGCCGCAAAGTGATACGCGATCTATATAGAGAGGAGCCTCCCAGTCTGATAAGTAGGGATTGTTTTGATATCGATCCAGCCCAGCTAGCTATTCCCCGAGCCCGAATCTTCTATGGCATACGGCATTGGAAAGAAAGCATGTCCATCCGTGCTGGTGCCAGCCATCTTCTGCCTCACGAGTCACAAGCCACGACCCATCTATCCTGCCCCAATATCTACAATGCCCCCCATCTTCTGCTATTCTTGGGTGCCACACAGCTGCCCCGCCCGGGTATCCCATACTCGACGACCTCCAGCCCCATCGGTCTTCCCGGGAGTCCGTGGTGGTGTCGTCAACGTCGCACAGTACCTGGGGGATCTCCATGCTCATCTACAGCAGGGTCTTGTGGATGCTGACACCTTCAAGACATGTTGTGGTCCCGTCCAGTCCAGCAGCTCTGCCCAGCTCTGCCCAGCTCTGTCTCCCTTCGCATTTACATAAATACGACTACGGAACCCTTCTGACCGAAAGGCTCAGCATCGCATCAAGCATTCCTGCTGTCATCAGTCAAACCATCTGACCGGCAGAATCACCCCCCCCAACACATCTGCTGTTCACTCCAGCCGGTATCGTCGAATCACGGTTTGCCAGCACGCGATCGCAGTCTGCGTCGAGGGTAGGGTGAGAATGTGCAGTTCGTGAACTCGGAGCAGCCACGCTGTTTAAGATCCGAGGACTCTGCAAACCTCTCGAGTCTTAATGCTCGAATTACCTACTCGGACCTCTGCCGTGACTTTGAGTTAGAAGCTTTTCCCGAATCGACATTTGCCTTTGCGCCGACCTCTACACGCGACATACCAAGACCCCGAGAAGAAAGCGAGTGTTATTATTCCAAAGACATACGGTCGAGCAAAGACAACAATCAACGACCTCAGATCTGCGGAATATCATGGCCGTAGACCATCCTCGTCAGCGGCCGGCAGCTCTGCAATCCCCTGCACTATCTGGAGAGACTCAACGAGACGATGATATTCCAGAGCAGACTGGGAAACCTCTGCATGAAGAGTCGCCCTTGATATCCCCATCCGGAGACGATTCGAGCGAGGACGGACTGGTCGACGGATCCGTTCTCCACGATGACCCCATCGATAACTACCAAGAATCCAAGAGTCTATGGTACATGATTCTCTTAACAATCAGTATCGGAGGACTACAACTGGCATGGGCAGTGGAACTGTCAAATGGAACTCCATATTTGCTTTCGCTGGGGTTGAGCAAGTCTCTCATGGCTTTGGTATGGATAGCAGGACCTCTGTCAGGAGCGCTCGTACAACCATATGTGGGAATTCTCAGCGATAACTGTAGATCGTCATGGGGAAAGCGGACTCCATTCATGGTATTTGGGGGGTTGGCAACTATCCTCTCACTGCTGTGTCTTGCCTGGGTAAGAGAGATAGTCGGTGGGTTTCTGGGCATCTTCGGCGCAAGCGAAGAGTCGGAGGGCGTAAAGATTACAACGATCGTGATCGCGGTCGGCTTCGTGTACATTCTAGACTTCTCCATAAACACAGGTAATGTTGCCCTCCGATGCTGTACGACCCCGCTTAATGCTTTGCAGTGCAAGCAGGAATTAGAGCCTTCATCTTGGACTGCTGCCCGAGTCATCAGCAAGGTAAGTCGGATTCTTGATGGGTGGAAGTAGCTTACCCTCGTAGAATCTGCAAACTCCATGGCAAGTCGAGTCGTGGGTGTTGGAAACATCATCGGCTACGTGGCTGGTTATGTTGACCTTCCCAAGTACATGTGGTTCTTTGGAAACACACAGTTCCAGATTCTATGCGTGATTGCATCGATATCGCTTTTCAGTACAGTAGCTATCAGTATCCTCACCATCAAAGAGCGAGATCCTCGACTGGAAGTTGCCAAGCCGAAAGGAAAAGGAGGTCTGGTCGCATTCTTCAAAACAATTTTCAAGTCCATTCGAAGACTCCCACCTCTTACCCGGCAAGTTTGCGAGGTCCAGTTTTTCGCCTGGATCGGATTCTTCCCCCAGCTCTTCTACTCTTCCTCCTACGTAGGAGACATCTACGTGCAACCCTACCTTCTTGAGAATCCCAACATGACCCCGAATGAAATCGACAAGCTCTACGAAACAGCCACCCGCATGGGTACTCGCGCCCTTCTCGTCTACGCCGTCACTTCTCTCACCACCAATGTCCTGCTCCCCTTCTTCATCGCCCCCACATACGACGCCTCAACATCCGACTCCTCTGACTCCCAAAAATCCTACTCAACCCGCGTCTCCCGCTTCCTGGACGCCCTCGTAATCCCCTGGCTAACCCTCCGCCGCGCCTGGCTCATCTCCCATCTCATCTTCACATGCTGCATGTTTAGCGCGCTCATCGTCCGTAGCATCGCCGCCGCCACAGCTCTCATCGGTATCGTCGGCATCTCCTGGGCTCTGACCCTCTGGGCACCCTTTGCCCTCATCTCGGCCGAAATCAGCAAACGTGATGCCCTGCGCCGTGCTCGCTCCGCCGCCCGCCGCCACTCCGACCCTGACACAGACGTCGAGGGGCATCCCGGGCAGCATCACGAAGAAGAAGATCAGGCTGGAGTTATCCTCGGCATCCACAACATGGCCATCGCCGCGCCACAGATCCTGGCGACGCTCGGCTCGTCCATCATGTTTCGCTTCCTGCAGAAGCCCCGCGGGACACCCGGAGATCGCAGCTATGCGGCCGTGCTAGCGGCAGGGGGCCTGTTTACGCTGGTCGCAGCGTGGCTGATAAGCAGAATCAAGGATGAAGTTGAGCTGCCGGAGGAGATTGCCGGGACGACGCGGAGTGCTTTGAGAAGAAGCATGAGCCAGGAAAGGGGGCTTATCCGGAATCGGAGCTTCTCGGGGTTGAATTATTAGGAGTGCGAGTGGGTTTTATTGTTGGAGACTGGACGAATAGATTTGCAGATTTGTTCAGATGGACGTGAGCGTTTTTATTTCTATGTGTATACCCTATTGCTGTGATAGAATCGGCGGTAAATCTCTCTTCGGCTTAGTTCTTCCTCGGGCGTGTTTGGATGGACGGGAGGGGGGCCTGGGGCTTGCAGCGTAAACTCCTCGGGTAGGATAGAGCAATGCAAATAGAGCGATCCATCAAGCTGGTTCCTTGTATCACTGGCCGTAAGCAAACCAAGCTGTGTGGATGAAAGATACTACTATTCGCTTCGTGAATATAACGTATTATGTGTGCTACCTCCGAAGAAAACTACTCACTTTTTACCGTATACTCAGTGCCACCACCAGCAATTGCGACAAACCCACCGGCTTTATCGTAACGAAATCGTACATCCAACTCGGAAAGCTGCCCGGGGAAAGGACGAGGAAACGGAGGGGATGTCCTGCAGCATACCTATAATATACGACACGTTGAAGCTACCTAATTATGTGAGCTAGCTAATGTGGGAGTCCATATGAATCATTGTTGAACTTTGGAATTTGCGGCTACGCATCGGTCGTTCATCCGGCTTTGATTTGTTCCACTAAGGGCGTTGCTAATTATAAGAGCCGCCGGCTGGGGACGTTTGGCTGTGGCTTTTTGAATTATAATAGTTGACGAGAGATTGATCAAGCTGGATCCTCTCTGGTCACTGATTAAGAACTCGGGAAGAGCGTAGAAGCTGGGTGCTTGAAGTAGACGTGGATGGAGAATACTGCCAATACTGTGCTCGGCGACTCCGTCGAGTATTGAGGTTTTGATCTACACATCAGCGTGACTACTTCCATCTGTTTTAACGTTGTCTATTGGTTTTGTATCATACATGTAATTATCCATCCAACAGGTTTGGGGATTTGAAAGCTTGCGAGACCATTCTCAGAAGATTGAAGCTTCACAGCCGGCACGAAAATGTATGTCAAGATGGTAGAGGTTCCTTCGGGCTCGACCGCCGAGCTGGGGGGACCAATTCGTGATTCTTCTAAATAGCTATCCGGTTATCAGCTACAAGGCTCCGGTGAGGAGGTCCAGTGATTGATGCGGAGTTTCACCTGATCTTCGTTGGTTTCCTCGCCAGGCCTCGGCCACGATGTCGTTCTTGATAATCTCAAGCTCGTGGATTTTGCGAACGAGCTCTGCGTCACTGTCGATTACGGCTTCAACAGTGGCAATCTCTTCGACAGATAGATCGTCCCCATCAGCCATCATCATACGAGAAATCTTGAGCATGATATCGGCCACGATCTCCTGGACGCCATCCTCACTAATGGAGAGACCTTCAGCGGACAGTTCAGAAACGGTGATCGAAGCCCAGCAGTCGGCGGCTTGAATTAGCTGTCGGGGGAAGCGCAGTCTGGCCCAGTCGGACTTGAGCACGTAGTAGAAGAAGAAGAGATCGTTGACTCCTCCGTTCGACACGCCCGAGGTGATCGATGACGAGATATATCCAAGGTTTAGGAGTGCCGAGTCCGCTCCCCAGTTCCCTTCGTTGGCAGCTCGGTCTCTCTTCTTGACTAACTCTGCGTTGGGTTCGAAGTTACCGGATAGTGCCCTCCATTTCTCCCAGAGCCCCTTGCGAACGTCAATACCGACCTGATACAATGGCTCTTTCAACTCTGCGGTAGCGCGAAGGTCTTTGACAATACGCTCAAGCTCAGAGATTCTAACTGTAAGTTAGCATGCGCATTCGAGTATTCCGGGGCACAGTGCGACATACCTTCCTGTGGATTTCACGAGTCTGCCTTCCATCGTCTCGCTCTGCCTCTTGAGCCTACCCATCTCTCCCGGAAGAGGCTTCTTCCTCAAAGCTTCATTCTCTGCCCGGAGATTTGCGATACGCTCCTCCGCGTTTCCAAGTTGCTTTCTTAGAATCGCAGCTTCCCCCTTGAGCATCTTGTCCTCTGCCTCCTGTGCCTCAGCCAGCTTCCACTTGGCTTTCTGCTGCGCGAGCACGGCGATCTCTGCCCGAACATTCGCGACACGCTCCTCCGCGTCTCCAAGTTGCTTTCTTAGAATCGCAGCTTCGCCCTTGAGCATCTTGTTCTCTGCCTCGTGTGTCTCAGCCAGCTTCAACGTGCCTCTCTTCTGCTGCGCGAGCTCGGCATTCTGCTGTGCCAGCTGCTGGTACAGCGCCGAGTTCGCCATATGGATCTGCAACAGTGTGGAGTTCTGCTGGGATATCATGCCTTGCAACGTAGTCTGGAACTCGGGGCTCGAGAATGAGCCGGTAGGCAGCTGCTCCAAGTGGTTGGACATGTTGGACATGTTGACGGTGCTGGCGCGCTAGGCCTGTGAGAATGGGGATGTGACAAGATGATCTGGACTCTTGGGCCTTGAAGTTGTCAATGTGAAGGAATTTGAAGTAATTTGAGGTCTGCTGAACTTCGGAGGACGGTAAAGGTGGTCGTGACGGGATTGGATGGTGAAGGCAGGCGAGAATAACAAACTACTCTACTAGCGTGGTTGAGGCTTCTGCATCGCAATTTACGGCAACTATAGATCGAGGGGCCAGACTAGTGACCTCGGATCTCTGCCATTCACCTTTCAATAAATGACCTTGAAGATATGAAGAGACCGGGTACATGAGCTGTGGGGGAGAAGTGGGGGTCACGCAGCGAAGTTGATGTTTCCATTCTTCCTCTCTATTACAAAAGGTCGCAGCAAAAAGTAGTACTGATATGAAGAAGACTCCAACCAAAAGGCCACAGGTACAAGCTTTGGTGAATAGATACGCAACCACATAGCATCATTCTATACCCGGAAGTTTAGAAAGAACTGGTGTAAGGTCCTACGCAGGACACTGGACTGACAGATTCCATTGTTTTGTTATTTACTACATCTTCGGCTAAATCTTCGGCTAATTTCTGGCAGGACACTGGGCTGTCGGGTTTCATTGTTTTGTTGCTTACCGAATCCTCGGCTAAATCCTCGGCTAGTTTCTGGCAGTCGCGTACGCACTTCACTAACCTTTAAGCTCACAGTAGAAGACCTTTCACCAGGTCTGCATTCTACAGTCGTCATGTTGGAAACTCGGGTATCTTGAATTCCCATTTACTATCACCAAACTGCAAATCCTGACCCTTATTCCAGCATTCAATACACAACCATGTCTTCAGTACTTCTAGGAGAGCGCCCTTCAGGTTCCAGCTCCACCATTCTATCATGTCTTCTAACTTGGATAGCCGCTGGAATATTGGTATGTAGAGTCTGCATGATGATTAGGATCATAGTAAACAGCCCAGGAGGGAGACCTCGTGACGCTTACCTGGCCACCCGTCCTTGCTGGCTTTACTGGACCGGCGTTCTTCCTGTCATACATAAATAATTGATTCCGTCAACTCCGATTAGCTGACTGTCCAAATGATTCCCCTTTAAGGTATGTCTCCAGTATGAAGTAACTTTAAATAATGGTTTCCATGGTAAATCCGCTCCATCACTTTAGAGGTATATTTAACAACGGATGAGATAAGTGTAGAATTCAGTTGTGATGAATCTTGGGATAAGCATGTTGACAATACTTTCTTCTACGGATACAACCAACCGCCCAGCTCACCTTTAACAACCTCCAACTCTACAAATCACTTCACGCCCGCATAACGAAGACACAGCATTATGTCCTCATTCGGCTATGTTCTCAATCCTGCAGAATCAAAGGCTCTCGAGGAATGTTTCGTGCTTCTACGGAAAGCCCCTTATGAACGGAAAACGTAAAATCTCCGCTTCGTTTTTGAATTGTAAGTAGGTCATCGGTTCAACTTTTTCAAATCTAAAGAATTAACAGGATTACACCCCCTCCACCATTATCTATATCTCCGGCAAGCAACGAGTGCCTCAAGCGGTGCAAGTGCTTCGATACGTCTGTTAGCATACGATAGAACTTCCTATCCCTCCCTTGTGATATCCCGGAGACCACGAAATCCGTCAGTAGTGTGAAATATCTGGGATTCAACAGAACTGCTGCCGCTACGATCTTCGGCCGATGAGCAGCGCGACCCTATGCCTCCATATCTTCTAATAGTAAACTTTCATTCGCCCTGGGAAAGATTATCCCGCCTCCACATCGGCCCTTTATCTAACGAGAGAATAATTGCCGCCTTGAATGCCCTCGGCATATCAGAAGAATTGAAGGCCGCCCTGCTTGATGATAGATATCGCTCGATCCTACACTCGGAGAGTCTTCAATGCTAGCTTCGTGACACCGTACAGCGGACGTATTCGAACTTTGAAGCGATCCTGGTGCGGCCCAAGTCAAGCAAGCTTCGAAGTTGATATAGCGTGGGAACAGTACTTCGAATGTGCTTTGATCAAAGCTGACAATTGCTTTCATTGCACCTCCTGTTAAAGTTCCTCCAAAGGTGCCTTAATAAAAACTGATTGCACCTCTTGCTGTTTCTTTAGTTGCACTTTCAATTGCACCTCTTGCTCTTCTTCAAATCGCACCTCGGCCAAAACTGGCAGCACTTTTAAATTGTACCACGGTACAGGCCTAAGTATTACCCCTCGAGGGTGCCCCAAAAGTTTAGTTTCCACTTTAAACCCCCTGGTTACCCTACCCTCGAGGGGTAATACTTACGCCTGGGACGTGGTAATGGACTGAATCAGCGTCCTCGTGAAACGGGTGTGTGGCTTGAAACCTTGAAAGAAAACCTCGAAACCTCGCAACCCTTCTCGAAACTAGAGACTGCAAAAAAAGCAGTTTCCATTTCATGTGATCCACAAATTCAGTGTCGAGTCTCTCCATTGGATATGGACTCGTAGTAACGTTGAACCTTGTTCTAAAATTTTGACTTGTGAGAAGCGAAGGATGCGGTTACGTACGAAGTACTACGTAGTAATATCGTTTTGCTTAGCGAATAAAGGGAAGCAAGTCCGACGATTAGGTTGCTCAAAATTATGCTAAGGATACCCGTCCTGTATTAAAGCAAGGTTGGACGAACGATCCTCGACGTGGCGAGTTTAATAGACCTCTGAAACCGGACTTGAGGGAATTACCAAACGAAATCGGAAAGATGACGCAATGTCGATCTCTCAGAGAACCTATTTTCAAGGTTCCAATTTCAAAGTTTTCATTTTGAGGATTTCATTTTCTCCGATTTACCAGACGCCACCTTTTTTATTTTTGTAAACAGACAGACATCATGAGCCTATCAGGTAACTATTAAAAATAGTAAAACGCTAGAACATGTTTTTCTTCTTCTTTTCTTTTCTTTTTGGCCAAACTCGATTGCAAGCTCATGAGGAGGTTTTGGTCTACAACCCTAACTGATTAGGTTATCCGCTAATAATAATACGTGATATAATAAAGCCACATTGGGCTTCTGCCACGGGAAACAGGTTATCTGTTTTCAGCGACTAAGCCACTGAGCCATCGGCTCTATTTTCCGCAAGGAGAAAGGAATTGCGGAGTTGGCTTACATCAAGCGTGTGAAATTTCTTAAAAATTTCTCAAATTTTTATTTTTTTTTATTTTTGGGGGGGGGGTGGGGTGGGGGGGAAATTCAGCTTTAACAAGCGCGCGGCGCCACAAAAACAGAAATCTAAAGATACAATCGCAGGGGACCGAAAAGAAACAGCCTACAGCCCGTGATCCCAGAAACATCTCCAGAACCACCCGTCTTCGCGGCGCAGAAGATTCTCTCTAGGCGTCTTCAAATATCTCGATGCCGTCTAGATGGGCCTCGAAATCTGGGACGCCTGAAGTCAGCACTGTTCTTGCAATGGTACAGCCGAAGGCCGGAGAAAAGAAAATTGTAGATGCGAACTGACCTTTTTCACCCGTTACCCCAAACGTGATTTTGTTGACGTCTCCTGGCTTCAGTGTGAGCTCGACAGGAATCGTCTTTTGCCGACCGGCACGACAGTTCATGTCAGAGATTTTTGTTGGTACGGGCTGATCGTTAATGGCAAGGTGTGCTTCACCAACTACAGTCAGGAAAATTAGCTCAACTCGTGCAATCTTCAGCCTAATAGGACTCACCGGCTGCATTGTTGACTGTGTAATGCAGAGCAAGCCACTGTGGCTTCCCAGTACCCGTAATGTTTTGGAAGACGACCTGGCTTTGAGTATCAACTGCATGAGGAGTCAGCCATGAAGTTTTGGGTACTTTCGGCGAGCTCTCAATAGCTTACTTTGATGCACTGAACGTTTACTGATGCAACCTTGGCAGTCCTTGATGGCTTTGAGTCACAAGCATTAGAGGAACATGATCCCTTGAAGACGTCAAAGACAGCAAAGTTGAGGACTTACCTGCGCGACCAGAGATTGCTGCAGCTTCGGCCTCATATCGCTTCTTGGTGGTAGGCCATGAGACTTCGCCGGTCGTCACATCGACTTTCCACATGGCATGATACTCCAGTGCGAGCGTGTGAGCACTACAGATAATGTCAGATATGTCCGCGGGCCCGACCGTCGATAACCTACGTAGCATCAACTTTCATAGGAAGCCAAATGTAAGTAGAACTCGGTCCCCCCTTCGAGTCCCACGAGTCACCCATGTAGATGTAAGTCGTTTGCTTGGATCCTTTAATGGTAAGTTCAAAGGTATTCTGCGAATTGTAAGTGTTCTCTTCCACCGGTGCAATTTCAAAGGGGCCGGTGAGGTTGCCATCGATGCTATCGGCCCAGAACATCTGGTTGGGATTGGAACGCCATCCCGTCTTCCCCGAGACGATCAGAAAGTAGATATTGTCCACTTTGAACATCCCTGGTGCTTCGTATGATCCGCCAGCTTCATAATCCATCAGCGCTGGTACTATGCAAAGAGCCAAGAATCATCCACTTACTGAGTTGGTTAACTTCGTCACCAATTGTCCCGTCCGGATTGATCTGGTTGATCTGCACAATGTTGTGGTCGGCACTGGTCATGAGATACCAAGTCTGAGTGTCGGGATCCTGAAACATTCCTGTGTCCGAATAACTGTAGGAATTTGGCGGTATCCTAACGGCAGGTCCATTCACCTTGTATCCTCCCTCAATCTGAGAAGATACCAAAGCTTGCACTGAGCGATCGACTTGCCCGTAAATCTACCGAAAGTCAACATGATACTCGACGGCGAATAACACACTCCCATACCCAGAAAGATCCATTTGGCGTGGCAATCTTCGGTCTCCACATCCACTTAATTGCGGCTTGAGCCCCAAGTGGAGTCCAGTTGAGGAGATCTGTTGACTTGTATAGATAGGGTGTGACATCTGACAGGTCAGACTAGAGTACTCGTGGCCCAGAAAGAGGTGACTTGCCATCATTCGCAGCTTGGCCTATCCAGTAGAAGTTTGCTTCATGCTGGTATATCATGCCTCCGTGGGCATCAATAGTGTTACCAGCGGTATCTTTCCAGTCAGCGCCAGGCACTATCCATGATGCAGCAAGGGCGCCGGCAGCCAGGCCGGAGGTGAGCAGAATTCGAGAAAACAACATCTCAATGAAATTGATCTGAAGTCGAAAAAGCAGCAATTTTTTTTTTTTTTTTTTTTTGCGTAGTAGCAGAATTTTCCTTTGTTTATCAAAACGAGCTTGCTGTAGGGCTCTTCCCCTTATTAAAGAGAATGTGACTTTAGGGGAAAAAGCAAAAATAAGTTTTTTGAGCGAACGGAATTGATTAGCTTATAAAAAGTGCGCATGATGACGAGCAGCAGAAGCTTGTCATCCCTTCTTATACTTAGTATGAATACGGAGTACGGAGGTACGAACTATACTCATGCGGCCAGTACTTAGTAGTAAGTATGTCCCCATGTCGCAGATCAACCCTAATATAGAGTCGAATTTGGGCGTAGCCAGCTATACTCCGTACAGACTGTTGTAATAGACAAGTTTCGCAGCAGACTTAACTCACTCAGTCATCTTATATATAGAGTCAGTGCCACAGCTAAGAAGTTAGCAAGGTGATCGGTTTCAAAAGATAACGATTATTGACCAGTCGACCTGCGTAGTACTCTTATGTGTTGTCTCGCCTTGCGGATATTGTATTCGAGATAGTTTGGCCTTGGTCTAAAGCTAATTCTGTGCCCTGGCCCCTAACATGATGTAGGAGTAGGTGGAGATGTACGAAGGTCGTACTACTACGTACGTCGCAGGCGTAATCCTTACACCCTTGAGGGTAGGGTAACCAGGGGGTTCAAAGCGGAAATTTAATTTTTTGAGGCACCCTCAGGCTGTAGCAACTCGGGGGGGGGGTGGGGGGGGCGATGGAGGGGAGGATATGTTGCACTTTGATGATCGAATACTCGTGTATTCGGACTTTTAATACGAAAACTTCACCATTTCGTTAAGTATAGCTATCGACCGCCTTCGATCTAAGTCTTATTGTATTAAGATTACTAGTGTCGGAGCCATGTTTGTTTATATACAGGCACTCGCAAATCAGTACTCAATTCAGTCAAGATAACTGATCAAGTTAACTGACTTTGCGAAAATCCTTCTTAATAATAATCTCCGTTTACTAATAGTGGGGTTAACTCAATCGTTACGTATGTTGAGTTACCGTAAGTCGGCTCTGAAACTTTTCTATTAGTAGTAGGACTTGACGTTGCAACAGCGTTTAAGAAAAAAGGCTTATCAAGTTCGCAGAAGCTTTGTGTTCGATCCACTTTTAAGTCTTCGCAAATAAAAAACGCTTTCGAATTAAGCAAAATCCAATAGCTTACAATTAAATCAGCGATAACGACGAAGATTATAAGCGAATTAATATTATATTATCGTCACTTTTGGCATAATATTATTTGAAAAGAAAAAAAACTTAAATAATAAGTTAGAGAAAGTAGACCTAATTCGCTGCGGCCTTAATTTGTAGCCTATCTTGATTTGATTCGAAAGAAACGGTACAATCGAATTTTTTTTTCCAGCTTGATTAAGATCTAATACTATAATAATATATATATATATATACATATATATTTATCAGGTCATACAGTTATTGTTTTAATAAAAATACATATCTAACTTCTCCGCTATTTAAGAAGCGACGCGGAACACAATCGTTTCGCGGAACATAATTGTTTCGCGGGACATAATTGTTTCGCCCGCTTTAGGAAAGGGCCCTTCAAGTTGTGACGTCAAGTCCCACTATTACTACGTCCCAGGCGTAAGTACCACGGTACAGGCTTAAGTACTACTATTACCCCTCGAGGATGCCTTAAAAGTTTAGTTTCCACTTTAAACCCCCTGGTTTCCCTACCCTCGAGGCGTAATACTACGTCGCAGCCTGTACCGTGGTACTACGTATATCCCACGCCAGCGGCCGCTCCGCTACGGAAAGTTTGATATACGGAGTACCTATGTACCGTACCGGTACCTACTTGGACGCCCTGTTGAAACCGTACGGGTGGGATGCCTCGGTTACAGCGGGGAGTCTACCTCTTCTTGGCCGAAGATGGATTCCCTTAACGAAACATCAGACGGCATCAATGTGACAGTTCAAGAATATATGGAGACTCTGGAGGCTCTGGAGACCCTGGAGACCCTGAAGACCCTGGAGACTGTTACACCCGTGGCTTTATTGCCTGTCCCTATTGCTCTGGTGCATTGCTCCTGCACACTCTCTTGCTGGATTGTCTGTCCGCCACGACCGTTGCATCCTTCCATTCCAGTTGCCGACCCATTTTAATTATTCATATCTCTGCATACCACTTCTAATCTTAACATCTTAGCTCAGTCATGCATATCGTTGAAGTGTATTCCCCTTCTGTACGAATTCACAAATAGTGGCTCTGAACGGGTAACCTCCCACCCATCAACTCTACTTATCTTTTCTTGTGATTGATTGCAACGCTCAAATTGCTGCGCCTATAAAACATTGCACGGTATCCCTTGGTACCTTAATATTGTTTCAGAGTCCACCTCGCTTTTCCTTTCTATGAGCCATGCAAAATTGTACTGATGTCAGCTACCTACCTAGCTATATGGGGCGCAAAAACGAGACTTCGCTAGTAGTAAGATAGGCTATCAATCCATCACCTCAGTAGCTGTATTTGGTGTCCTTGGAGACTTCACGGGAATCGAACACAGGTATCATGAAATCTTCCACGTTGCCCAGCAGCAAGTGACGAACGAAAGGACCGAAGACCGTCTTGAAATTCGGCTCTTCTTGCTCTTCACCAAGCACGGCCTTACTAACTAGCATGTAAGAGCAACCAAACGCCAGCCAAATCTATCAAAAGCATTTTTTGACAGTTTCTTTTCGCGTTACAATTACCAAAGTTGATAAATATCAACGTTTCCAGACAACGTTTCCAGAGATCACTTTCGCAACCCGAGCTTATTATTCGTGGGACTGGAGTAGATTGAAGGTGAAGAGACTTGTTGGTTATACAAGTGGTTGATAGTCTAGGCTAATCAGGTGGTTTATGGTGTTGGTAATGTCTGGTATTGCTATGAGTAGTTGTGACGGTTCCTTATGGGAACCGTAGGTGCACGGGCCACAGTCACGTGCCACTGCCTACTGCCGTGCCATCGCCATTCGCGTTCCTTCCATTCCTGAATGCCATATTGGACTCTGTAATCCGACAAGAATGAAGTTCATCAATATCACTGGCTAATGGGGCCACTTCTTATTCCAAGTCTTGCATTCGTGGGTATTCTGTCCATGACAAACTCACATAAGTCCCATTCCGTCCTCTGGTCCAAATGCCACTCTCCGTGAACGCCCTGACATGCCCCCGCTCATATCCCAACCCAGAAAAACGCCAATTTAAGCTCTCCTAGGCTTCTTCTTGTCAGGCCCCTCTTCCTCTTCCTCGTCACTCAGATTCGCATATTGAGTGACGGGCTGGGTCTCCTTCCAGGCGTTCGTGAACATCGGGTCTTTCTTCGCTAGCTCAGCATATTTGAGCAGCGCCTCTCTAGGATCCTCATCTCTCATACTGCTCAACGATATGCTCTCATTAATGTACTTCTCGTCCTGCTGGCTTTTCATGAATGGAGTCACCGCTGGGATCTGAGGTCTCCGAGGATCTCTTGAACGACCGGAAGCTGTGAGACCAACGGTTGGATGACGAGCTGCAAATGAAGTCGCCCCAGCACTTGTGATGACTCCACCGGCACTCACAACGCTGTCCCCTGATAGTCCAGCCGACTGGTCGGTTGTAAAGTTCGGATCATCATCGACGTGTCGCTTCTTGGGCGCTCGAGACATGACATCGACAGCACCACGGGTTGAGGTATTAGGATTATAAAGAACGTGTATTTCGGAGTTGGCGGATCCGGTCACGATCTGGTTGATCTTGGAATGCCATTCAACTGTAATAAGCGGCGACCCTGGTGTCACAGGAGTGACCAACTCTGGCTTGAGATTTCCAGGGTTCAGGATGTGGAGATGACCTGTCGTCGATCCGGTGATTATGCTTGAAGATGTTGGCGAGTATCTGATGTTGGTCGCAGAGTACGTGTCCGATGTCGAGGGATGTGAGACGGTTACAACTGGGGTCTTAAACTTTCTCAAATCCCAGAGCTTGATCAGATCATCCCCTCCTCTCGTAACGACCATTCGACCGTCCGAGCTGATATCCACTCCTCCAGTCCAAGTATTTGGCTTATGAGCTTCTCTGATCTCCGCTGTTGGCCTTGAAAAGGGCCCATCGCCACTCCACATCACCAGACTTCCATCGAGAGCCGCAGCAACAAGAATGTTACCACCCCCCTGCATCGCACTTCCCCAGACGATTGCACTTATTCTCGTCCTGCCAGCAGATCCAGCAGCTCTGGATTTGTGTACAATTACCTCCTTCTGACATCTCTTGTGGTTGACATCCCATATTCGGACAGTACTGTCTGTCCCAGCCGTCACGCATATGTTCTTGTCGATAGGATTCCAGGTACCGGTTGTGACCTCGGAAATATGTCCTTTAGTGTTTTTCATATCCCTCAAGTACATATCCCCCTTTTGAAATTCGGCCAGCACCTCTCCATCTCTGCTCATAATCCTGGCTTGAGGTGTCGCTGAGACACACAGAAATGTCCCACCCGATAAGGGGTTGAACTCGACATGATTTATGGGGTGGGTTTCCGAGTTTGTAGAAGTCTTCGAGGCACTTGGATCAACGCTCTTGAATGCTCGCAGGGTCGTGGGTGTCATAGACGCAAAATCGTGTAGTTTTAGCGTACAATCCGTTGAGCCCGATACCAATCTTCCTCCAGAAGGATCCAGAGCAGTTGTAGTCACCGCGCGGTCATGTGTCTTGAGCACCAGCTCATGCGATACTGGGTACTCGTCGTCGTCGGATTCATCCGAGTCGTCGTCAGGGTCATCGCCATCGCTTGATCCAAAGTCCTTCGACGCTGGCTCCTGCGCGATCCTCAGTGGTGGTTCCTCTCTATCAGCAGAGCTCTCAGCAATTGCTGTAGCTGTAGCCTTGTCCACAGCTCTCTTTGTCCGTCCAATTTGCGCCGCAACATCTGTCTCTTTTGACTTCTTTCCAAAGGACTGTGGAAGATATGCTCTCATAGGATCGTCTGCAGCCATCTCAGGCACCTCCACATCGAAATCATCATCGTCGCTCATGGTGTATAGTGAGTGGTCTGACACTCTTGAAAGAAAGTCGTGGAGTTGTCGTCAATAATAAGTATGGGGACCTTGCATATTTGGTGGGGTGAATTACCGACCGTATTTATCTTATCGGGCTAGGTCTGTCCCTGCAAATCGCAACCACGATTCTACACCCTCCGCCTCCGCATGTCTCGACAACTATACTCCGTAATCATAATCACAACATCACAGATATTCACGGCCGAGCACCCGATGGTCATTTCATACCCTCATGTCACCGCAATCGATATCACAGTCCGGTCTGTAAGGTCCTGGACGCAATTGGGATGATACGCAGTATTGCAAGTCAACGCTGATATGTATTTACCAACCCCGACTCTGGACCCGACGACGGCATCCTTTCCTGCCGCGAAACTGTCCCAAATCTCTTCTGAGCTCCTCTTCAACGCCATATCCTTTATTGGAGGGGGGTCGCAGCTGCAACGATGGAGTTCTCTAATCGGAATCATCACGGCCGTAGTCGGCAACATCCTCATATCCTTCGCTCTTAACATTCAAAAATACGCCCACCTAAGGCTACACGATGAGCGGGCTCGCCGGAAAGAGAAGATGAAGACCATATCAAAGACCGGTGGAGGATATGGGGCTACGGGCGTAAGTGGGCAGCAGACTGTGAAAGTGGACGGAATAAATGGTGAGGCGGACAGCCTCTTGTCGTCGTCCTTCAACTCTCAGTCAAGCGGATTCTCCCACGAAGACCAATCAAACTATCTCAAGTCGCCATACTGGTGGGGAGGAATCGTGCTGATGACGGTGGGAGAGGCGGGAAATTTCCTGGCTTACGGCTTTGCGCCGGCTTCCATTGTGTCCCCGCTGGGCGTGGTGGCTCTGATATCGAACTGCGTTATAGCTCCTATCATGTTGAAGGAAAGGTTTCGAATGCGGGACTTTTGGGGTGTTTTGGTTGCGGTAGGAGGAGCAATCACGGTAGTCTTGAGTGCCAAGACAGAGGAGCAGAAATTCGGGCCTCATGAGATATGGGGTGCCATTACAACGACGGCGTTCAAGATATATATGGGTGTCACTGTAACGCTCATAGTAGTGCTGATGTTTGCGAGCCCCAAGTACGGGAACAGAACTATATTGATCGACTTGGGGCTTGTAGGGCTTTTTGGTGAGGATCGAAGGTGCTTTATCCGTGTCAATGTCTCTACTAACTATGAACAGGAGGCTACACAGCCCTCTCAACCAAAGGCGTTGCTTCAATGCTTTCGTCAACTCTATGGGGAGCTTTGACAACTCCAGTCACTTATGCCTTGGTGGCTGTACTCATTGCGACCGCCGTGATGCAGGTGAGATACGTCAACAAATCACTTCAACGGTTTGACTCGACACAGGTCATTCCTATACAGTTCGTTATGTTCACTCTTTCCGTAATAATCGGAAGTGCGATTCTGTATCGCGATTTTGAGAAAGCTACTGCCGACAACTTCTCCAAGTTTATTGGTGGATGTATAATGACATTCTTTAGTGTCTGGCTCATCACAAGTGGACGGCAAACACAGGATGAAGATGACGAGGAAGAAGAGGGCTCCGAGTCAGATGGAGAGGAGCGCATTAGTCTCACTGGACAAGAAGAAGCAGAAGATGATTTATCATCCCGGGATGAGTCCCAGAGACGAGCGAATGTATTCCAGAACTACGATGGTGTGGTCGAAGGCCATGGCTCTGCATCGCGGCAAGACTCACATGTCAGTTTTGCCGAGCCTCTAGAAAGACCACGAAGTCCTCCCATGTGCTCCAATTCCTCGTACAAGCCATCGCTGCGAATCATGCCTTTCTTTCAAGGCAGTAGCCAGGAGAGCCCTCTTTTCAGCAGTCCCTGGAAAACGTCCCCAGACGATCTTCCGCAACCTTTACTACAACACCATCCAGGACTGCAAAGCACAATATCCTCGCCAGTTCTTCCATCAGAAGCGCACAATGCTCCTCAGACATCGCATCTTTTGGCCAGAACAATATCACAAGGAAATGTGCACACTCATCCCAACGATCAGCAGTCCCCGGCACCCCCGCAGCCAGATCTTCCGATGATTCCTGCCAGACATTCTATGTCTAGAATGTTACCCGGTCCTCTACTGTCGCCGATCTCTGGTGGTCTCAGTGTTGTTGCCCGCAGTGGCGGCTTCAGGCGGTCCAAATCGGCGCTTCGGAGGACAAAGTCAGGATCCCAACGGCTGACTAACACAAGCGAAGAGGATGACTTCCAGTTAGGAACGTCACCTGTTAAGAATGACGACCAGTATGAGTACGCCAGCAAGCCACAAGAAAGCGCCGGCGGTCGAGTCACAAGAGCAAGAAGCCTGAGCAATACGCTCGGAGATATGATTAGAGGCAAACGGCAAAAAATAGACAGGCCGGAATTGGCCGAAGATAACGAAGCTGGCCCCAGTGGCTCATGATGTTTATTCGATGAGGGAGTTTGGGTTCGGTTGAATTGGGCTTGCGGTGCATAGGACAGGATAGGCTTCTGGTGTACAGATGTGACCGGCTACTTACGTTCAATGACCATATGTATATGATGCGAAAAATCGATAATTGATTTGAATTTCATGGCTTGGTAACGAGAGCACGGCCCCGATTATCTCAATAGTCCTGGTCCACAATGTAAGTGCTCCTCCTGCTGAGAATCGCTAATGTTGAAGCAGATTGACGTGCTGTCCGTTCCATTAAACTCCAAGCAAATATTTGCCCGCCTGTCCATAATGGCATTCTGAAGTCACCTCCGGCCTGCCCTTTCTTCGAGGCTTCCCCACCTAATCTGGCATTCCCTACATCTCTCTCGGACGCACAGGGTACATTTCCCGTATACTTCGACCGAACCCGGCATCGGGTTCGTAAAGTTGCACTGGCAAATATCAGCGGTAAGCTCAACACTTGTACTTTGTAAGTCTCACATAGTGGCACTTCCAGTACCAGAGTTCTGTATTGGGAAACTTTGGAGGTTCCTCCGCCAGGCGTAGGGGAGAAGTTTCTGACATCGTAGCGCAGAAGCTGAGATTGAGCGAATCACTGGTTCTGTGTATGGCTCTTTTTCCCTTGCGTTTTTGTTTCAAAAGAAGTCTACAGCTCACTGGTTTGGTAGTTTTATACTTTTATGGAGAAGGAACCTGATTGACTCATGCTGCTCTGCTATACCACCCAAGCCTATGAATCCAACCAGATTCCCTGCGATGTCATGTCCATTCACGAACTTTGCATTCCCAGCCGGAATCAAAGAAATCAAGAACGCCACATTTATTCCCCTTAGAAGAAGCTCAGGGGAGTGAAGGAGACAAGTGCCGTCAAATCTTTACTCCTGATCGTCACCTTTTAGGCATGAGCCTCAGCATCGATCATGAAGCAAGCATTCTTCTTATCCATCGTAACCACCCTCGCGCTCCGCACCAACGCTGCCATCCTCCGAGACGGAGACGACACTCTTCTCGCCGACTTCACTCATATCGCTCCTCTCGCTCTCGCCGTTGGTACGTCCCTGGCCCCACTTGCCCTCCCTCTTCCGACGCTCCGCCCACATCCAAGCCGTCTCCAAGCCGGTCTGCTTCGCATACTCCTCGTCGCCACTCTTCAGGTCGTAGTACTCCTCCCGCGTGATCAGGCGGCTGGCGTACTTCATGGTGTGTTCGGCCGCACGTGACGTCCACTCCTCCTCGATAGTGCGGATGCGCCAGCGGATGGAGCAGCTGCGGCAGCGTTCGTGCGAGCACTTGATGCACGTGGAGTAGTCGCGCGACTCGTCGGGCTTCTGGTTGGCGTGTCTGCACTGCGCAGCGGTGTCAGTTCTCACATGTGATATCATTCTGGATCTGGAAAGTGCGAGAGAAGGCCGTCGGAGGAGGCAAAAACATACGACGCAGCAGAACCAAGTCCAGCTGGAGGTGTTGGGTAGCTTTGGGGTCGGACACTCGTAATGCGAGGAGTCGACCATGGTCTTGAGCCAAGCAGGCGTTGCCATGGTGTGTGCGGTTGGTTTCTTGTCTTGCGCGGTCGATCTGGGGGTTTCTTGAAAGAGGTTGTTGACCTATTGGCGTTGTTACTTGTTGATACACGATGACTTCTGATTAGCGAAGGTGCAGACGCGCTAACGCGGTGGAAGACGACTAACTTTGCGGTAGACTGGAGAGGGAGATGGAGTTTAGTTCGGGCCGAAGGTAGAGGCTACGAGGCTACGTCCTGGGTACTATTTTTTGGGGGGCTCCCTCGACCATATCTCTCTTCGGTACGAGGACTGCAGAACTTTTTACACATCTTATCACTCCTCTGTAACAAACCCAATGTTACGTTGTGATCTGAGCCCCTTTCGAGGAGGCACCTTGGGATCTCCGATTTTGTAAAAAGACTTAGTCACAATCAGTGTGGGTAGTATCATTCTCATCAATCCAATTCGTGATACGCTGTCCCGTCGATTCTGCAGAGCAACACAAGATACACTGAGGGTGACTATTTTAGCGTGACCACTTCAGATCGACGACTGCTTCATAGTGAATACAAATTACCACTTAACCGCAATAATAAATAGGTGAACAGAGAGAGTGGGTCCGACTAGGATCGATCTGGTGTTTGTTTTGTGAGCGCCCCTTCTCGAAATATATTTTCCAAGCTTCCAAACTTCCAAACTTCCAGCTCTTTTCTTCTCCCACAGCCTTCACATCTTTGCTTCTCAAGGACAACCAACTCCAAAGATGGAATACTCCGGCCCAGACAGGCACGCTCTACTGGTTATGATAGTCGATTACAACTTGTATCACCCGCACGACAGGATCACGAAGGCGACCATCAGCCGAGGCCTCGAAGGGGCGAGAAAGACTCTCATCGATAGAGTGGCTGAGAGGGAAGCTTTTCCGCTCAACGAGTTTCAGGAAAAGGGGAGGAGACTCAGGATCATGCTGGAAGAGGTGGAGGAGCTGACCGACCTCAACACACATCTGGCTTTGCGGTGGAGAGAGTTGTCGGACGCTGTTGCGGAAATGACGCCTCTGGTCAGCGAGGTAAGTACAGTACAGCACTCTCACTGTTTAGGAAAGCTCGTGGACTTTGCTTGTTGTTCCTGTTCCTGTTCTCGGAATGTAGCGCGAGTCAGATTGCTGATGGGACAGTGTAGAAGTGGCAGTGGACTTTGGAAGAATTTGAGAGGCGAGAGGAAGACAAAAAGCAGAAGAGGAGGCTGAAAGAGCTTGCTGCGCAGAGAACTGCCGAGTGGGGAAAACAGCAAGAAGCAGAATGGCTAGCGCGGATCGAGGAAGAAGAGAGGCAGGCAGCGGAGGTGACTAGGCAGAGGAGAGACCGGTTCGAAGAATCCAGATCGAAGAGAAGATCACCAAGCCCCCCACCGCTACCAGATCTGAATACCGGAAAGACGAAATCCGAAGACCTGCGAGAGGAACCGGGTCCGCTCTCTCCTCTGCTGCCTCCGCGAAAACAGGATAACGCCAGTACAAAGCAGCGGGTAGAATCACCGGGTCTTCCTCACCGGCCTCATTCAGCCGTGCCTGTACATGTTGCGTATCCTATCCCCATGCCGCCGCCCGCGCAAGGACCGACCACTCAAGCATCGAAGAAGCACAAGAATAAGATGGTATTCATCAAAAAAGAAGGGCTCTGCTTGTATGACCGTCGTAATGGTGAAACTTTCATCGAGCTGGATATGGAGCCAACTCCTTCCCCGACCTCCCCTTCGCTCGCCCAGATCCGGAAGAAGCCCGAGGAGAGAAGCCACCAGAGTGCAAGAAACCCTCTCCAGCACGAGAAGAGGGAGGACCTTGGCAGGCAGAAGTCGTCCATGCCTAGAGCCAGCGGACCCGCTCAAAGCGCACCTCATCTGCCAGCGGTGGAAACCCCACGCAAGATCTCGTCGCGAGAAGCTGCCATGTTTCTTAATAGGAAGAAGGGTAGGGGGCTTGAAGATCATGGACCGAAGATGGATAAGGCTCACTATGACGCTCTGCGTCTGGCATCAGAGATTGCAAGGTTCTCGTGGCCGGCGTCACCGCCACCGCCACCAGCCGAGAGGCTGTAGGCAGGTTGAGCTGGAGATGATGCAGGATAGTTCATTCAAGATGGTTGGCGATTGGCTTAGAAAGGGAGAGCGGTAGATCATATGTGGTCTATGGTTGGTTTTGCACTTGTCAAGAGGCCGGATACAGTGATTACCACTGTGGTTGTGCCTCAGTAGCACCAATATCTCGGCACCTGATATGCCATACGCATGTTCATCTGTGTCTTTATGCATCGCTTTTCAATGTGGCTTGGCACAAAAGCACCCTTGGTTTAAGCCTTAGCGAATGAATGAGGAGTGTGGAAAGCAAATGAATCGGGTTGCAGGAACTGGGAAGATTTGGAAGTGGCTGGATCCAAAAAGTGATCTTCACTTGCCAAAAATTTGCTTGAAATTCAAGGGATGGCCCTCGATCCAGGAGATTATCTACACAATTTCCCTTCCTATTTTCTTTCCTACTCGGAACCGAATGATAACTCAGTTGAGTTACTAGATGCCCTGCGTGAAATATTTACTTGATCGGACGGTAACGTTTACTAAAAGTGATATCGAGCGACCTCTTTGACTCGACCCATGACGAAAGGAAATTCTGTGAAAGATAAATTTTAGCGGCGTTTTTCATACGTGCGCAAGATCTCTGATATCTAACAAACATATCGAGATTTGTCTTATTCAATGCCATGTGCGTCATCCGCACAATAGCACCACCCACTTAAGAGCATAAACACATGTACAGATGAAGCATTACTGAATTTTAAATAGAAGGAGAGACAAATGTAAACGAACATGACAAGTCCTGGATTGCAAGTAAATGCGTTTTATTTCTAAGAGATGAGTAGAGACGAAAGCGCAAGAGAAGAAAGAATTTACTTAAGGAATGAATGCCAGTAATAAAATCAAGAGACAATATCACCACCGCGCTTGACAGCCATTGACAAAGGAAGGACATGGCCAATCCGAATGCTCTGATCTTTTTCAGGATCCCGGCCGACCAAGTTGTCTGGCTCGAGATGGGAAAGACTTGGGGCACCGCGGCGCGCATTTGGGATCCAAGGGAAACAACATGATTCTACGAAAGGAGAGAAAGGAAAAGTTTTCCCTTACCATGCCTTCCTTACCTGCTGCTCTCACCCTCACCAACTCACTCACTCATCGTCGCTCTCAATCCCAGCCATCGTCAGCGCCTCCGACATCTCATTCTCGACGATGACCCGGAGGGCCCACTCAGCAGTCATCCTTGCCGCACGTTCACTCTCCCGCTCTTCGATCGCCTCGAGCTCTGCGACGTAGCTCTGCTGGATCTGGAGAGCTGCCTCGGCCGCGACCCGGACAGCATCTTGCATGGCGTGCGGTGGTGAGAAAGAGTCCGCTCGAGACTGTTGTGGTCGTGGTAGTGAGAGCTCGGCAGAGAGGGAGCTGCGGTCACTTGAGCCATCCGCGAGGGTGGAGGAGGAGCTGGTCTGGCTTGAGGCGCTTCGAGATCGAGATCGAGATCGGGATCGGGATCTGGAATTGTTGTCTCGTCCTCCTCGTCGTTGTTGTCGTCGTCGCGCTGAGACTGCGTTTTCCCGGCGAGAGCTGGATCGTCCTCTTGCGGTGCGGTTCGAGCGTCTGATTACTCGGCGTCCCGTTCTGTTGACTCCGATCGCTGACTGCGCGGATGCATTCGCGCTTGTGAAGCCCGATGCAGTAGTTTCCTGTGCTGTTGTTTCGGGGACGCTGGTGGATCCCAGTCGGACTGCGTTGAGGCCTGTGGCTGGAGATGGTGGGGTAGCGTTGGAGCCTGTGGGAATCGAGTTCTCCATCGTGATGTCCATGCTCAGGCCGGCTGAGTTTTGATTTTGGTTCTGGTTTTCATTCAACATGTTGAGTGTTCTTGAGTGATTGGTTCTTTGTCTGGTGTTTGGAACGGTGCTGATGGGATGTTGTATGTATAGAAGATGAGGACAGAAGATGAGGATAATGCTGATCGACAGGATTTTTGATGCGAGTGAAGTTATTCTGGAGTGGTATCTTGGAAGATATATATCCAGTGGGTTGAAGTGTTTTCTGTATCTGAACAGCCTAACAAGCTGGACACGGAAAGAAAAACAACAAACACATCGTATTTACAATGGCTTTGTGAGGCGGGAAAGAAGTCTGGCGCTGCTTTTTCTTCCACAAAGAGAACTTACCTATGCTGTTGTGAGCCATTGCTTCTTGAAAGAAGCTTTGTTCAGAATGGCAGGTCGGTGACTTCATATGGTGGGAAAGCTATACCAGCTAATTTAGTATTGCACAGCTCTTCGGTGCTGGTGCTGCCAAAGGGGGCGAACGCCACCAATCCAACGCCTCCACCTTTTCATCAGTAATGATTAACTGTCCTCCATCGAATAGACCTGCTCTACTATTTTGACCACCTCCATCTTTTCGTCCTCCTCCATCATATTTTGCTCCTCCTCCCATTCAAGCTTTTGCTTCAGTCTCTGCTCTCCTTCTCCGTACGATCCACTTTCTCCAGCAATCTTCCACCCCATCCAAACAACGGTTATGGCCGAAAATGTCTTGAGCTCCTCCGGTGTTTTCCAGAATTGAGCCCATAGCTCTAACTCACCGTCGTCGTTTATCGTATCAGTTGGAATATTCATTTGCAGCTTCCCAGGGCACTTTTAATCAATGAAAAGCGTAATGCTTTCTCCGGATCTGGCACTTTCTCTGACTCGGTATACCCCAAAATGTCTTCTTCTGAACCGTTCCATAATAACACATTCCCTAACATATCACTAGATTTCATACGTTGTGTTTGACGATATCTTGGGATAAATCCTTTGCCGATACTTTTGAGCTTTTTACTATCCGCTTTGATAGCACAGTACCAATCGTCCGTCGTCTTTCTTAGCCGGCCAGCTCGCAGGTTCGTTTGCTATTTAGATTATCAATCCTGCGTGATGATCAAGTTATACGAATATAAACCAACTTACTTATATAAAAGCCAACTCCTAATTAAGGAAACGAAAAGTCTTTATCGTATTTCTTATCTCTATAAGGATTTTCGTGCTTATTAGTATATTCGGCTTCGTCTTATCATTTGCGTAATTAATATAAGCTTATGTTATATAGATCAAGTGAAATTTACATTAAAAGCAGTTCGATAGCCGATGATTTCTTTATCGTCTCCTTGAGCTTTACTAAAAACAAAGCTCAGGGCTAGCAAGATCGAGCAGGTATATCGCGATAATAGCATCATGATGCGAGCTAACGAAAAGAAATAGTAGGAAGAAGTTGATCAAGAAGCTGACAGTAAGAAAGATGACGAATTTTATCTGAAGTAGGTGCAAAAAAAGATCTTTATCTCTTTTTTGTGATATATCACTTTATCCAATTACGGAATACCCGGTATCAATATTCTTTTTCTTAATATTAGTAACCGTATTTGAAATTCCTACATCGACTATAGATAATCGTGCGGCTATTATATTTGGTGAGAATAGAATTAGCAGGATGTCGAACCTCGAGCCACGACCACGATGTAATAGTAGGTAGGACTTGACCTCGCAACTTTTGGGGCTTTTAGGGAAGGGCCCCAAAAGTTGTGAGGTCAACTCCCACTATTAGCAGCAGTTTCTGGATAAGCGAGCACAGGGGAGTTTATTTATAGTAGCAGGTCGAGGATTTGAAGCCAGCCTGCGGACAGTCAAACACAAAATAAAAGCGCCAAAGGTGAGTCGTATACCCAATTATCATCACCAAATCCCACGTTGAGTTCTAGGCCGATCAGATTGGCTGTCACTGACAACGTATTGTTACTTACGGACCAGTGCACACGACTGCCATGCTGCCGATCGTCCATCCGGAACATCTCAAGAGGCTCCGATTCGACCACACTTTTACAAATGATGCTCCGTAGCACAAGGCACACTGTCTTGCTCGCCCACCGGATGTCTGGGAAGGGTGTCACAGGCGCGAACCCGTCGCTCATTGTGCAAGCCACAGATCCAGGTTCGATGAACACGAGATGTTGATCTCCCCAGATTTGAACCCTAAAGGACTACGATATACCATCATCTCTTACATCAGCTGGCTCACCAACAGCTACTTGTAAATAGAGAACTGCCGCCGAGCTGAAAGACAAAAATGGGATGGATGACCTTCAGATACCTGAAAACTAGCTTTCCAGATCCTGACTCGCGCGCGAGTATTGGCGGCATAGGGGCCAAGGCACTCGCGTTCAGGAGAATAGGTAGCAAAGCAGGGTGATAAGAGGTTTTTCGTTTTTCGTCTTTTTAGAGAAAGAGAAAGAGAAAAAGAAAATCGCCCGGAAGATGATTTCCCACGGCCGGATCCGAGTGTTTGCATGCGCAGAGAGGAGATGGTTTGGGCCTGGGTATGATGCTATGGCAGATGGTAGGTATAATAATAAACAATGGGTAGCGAGGAGGCGGATGCAAGATCGGGGAGCTTTCTTGGCCGGGGTCCAAGGGACACTTGAAGGTTTGGTGCGGACGGAGCAGCTGACCCGATTTTATCGACACCGCCATTGTGATGTTGGTGCATCCATTCGTATCCGTATCGTATCCAGATGGATAATGAGTACCTGTAAAATATCCTCGGGAATTCGTGGACGAGATTGAAAATGTAGCAAATATGTATACATGTAAATATATTCATAAAATTTATAATGTTTGTAAGATATCGAGCCCCAGCTGGCCAGCAAGCCACGGACGTAATCCGCTTACCCCTCCATCCGATCTTCACGTGCAAAGTTACCTAGGTGGGTGGGTACCTTGAGCAGGAAGGAAGGTGCCTCTCTATATTGATTGTATATAAGGGTTAACACGTAAACGTAAATACATATATATATATTTATATACCCTATACATCTATATATACGCTACTCATACGGACATCTGCAATCATCATCAACTCCTGGCGCTACCTAGCCATTCTAGAGATTCCCAATAGTATATCAGTAACTACAATTAACTGAGAAAGCGGATCCCACGATAATGATTCCAGTTTCCTACTGACTTGACTTGGTTTCATGCTGACTCTGTACCGAGAGTGAATGTGGGGAACGAAGATCATCCCGCAATTGAAAAATTCACAACCTCGACAACCGTCCTCAGATACCCGGGTTCTCCTTGCCAAACACTTGTCGGCAGCAATTCCGTCGCAAACACAAACACCAAGAGAAACACTCACATTGATCCCGGATATGAAATACTCATAACGAAAGAAACCACCACCACCGCATTCTGACCTGCCTGTCAGCCTTGCACTCCGCCTACCCGACCACCCGCTCAAACGACATCCCATTCCCATTGAAAAGGCTGTTGAACGTCCTACTACACTTGCAGACCTTTCACGACCTTTCACGACCTTTCACGACCTTTCACGACCTCTCACGACCTCTCGCGACCTCCTGCGACCTCCCACTACCTGCCACGACTTCCCACGACCTCCCACAACCTCCCACGACCTCCCACGACCTCCCACGACCTCCCACGACCTCCGAGCGCCACCGCCGCCGCCAACGTGGGCATCGCAGCAGATCGCGCTCAATTATGCTGGAGCTGGATGGGCAGGTCCCACATGGTAAGCATTATCTTTGTCTGCATCTCCCGACTACAACTACAACTATGACCATGACCACGACCACGACAGTAGTACGCTGTCACCACCACTAAGAGTCAGAGAGAACGACTTATAAGGACCGGCAGCTGTAACCTGATGCTTGCTCGGTCTACAGATATCTCATATCAAGCCCCTTTCTCCTAGCTTATCAGACTTCATTGTTTTGTATCAAAGGCTTCCGAAAAATGCTGATGCTGATGCTAACCTCGATTTCGACTGCAGGCGTCGAGAAACAGCGAGGCCGTCAAAGTCCTTCATCTCCCCCACCACACATTTCTCTCCCGAAGAACCGGAGTACGCCCAATTTCGCGAACGCAGGGGCGGACAGGGCTCGCATACGTTTCTCTTGTGATGCGGGTTCTGCGGTACCGGCGGCAGAATATGATACAATGCCGAGGTTAGTGGGTGGAGTGCTGCTTCTGGGGGCTACATAAACGACTTGTGTCGTCTTGAATGCTTCGAGATAACACTGGTACGGATGGCTGACGAGAGATTTCTCAGGTCCCCCATCATGGCGGAGCACGAGCATGGTCTTGGTGCCTCTGGGCTTCGGCGGATTCGCCAGCAGCCTCCTGTTCGAGGATTTACGAGGACCTCCTCTACATCATCGTCTCGCAACCCCTCTGTTGCACCTAGGTCGAGCTCGGGGACCCTCACGCTTTCGAACTCGCGGGCAGCCTCTATAGCTATTGCTTCCGGACCCTCTTCGCCAAAATTAAATTTCGGAGAAGACCTCTCAAGGTTCCCCTCCGAGTCCCTTCACTCTTTCTCCTTCGCCCATCAATCGGATGAATTTATACACAATAGACAGAATGTTTTGAAAAGATCTGTGGAATTCATGTCTCAGAAGCTAGGTCGGGTGAATACGAATGCTGGAATCGCCAGTGCACAAGCACGGGTCACTGGGGACCATGAGATGCAAGGAATGTTGGAGCTTTTGGCCAGAGCAAAGCTGGTGGGCGCAAACAATATCCCGGGGCTCTCCTCTCAGACAGATCAGATGGGCGCTCTGACTGGACCGGCGACTGCTGAGAATGCTGGAAATGTCTTCGAAGCCAGCTTCCTACCATGTTCGGAATCTCCTGTTGAGATGAATGTGAGTCCCGGACCATCTCCCACGACTAGTAGGAGGTCTTCTCTTCACGGCCCAGTATTAGAAAAATCGAGACAGCAAAGTGAATTGACTGAGAAGGATGTACCCCTTTTAACTGAATCCGGATCTTCCTCACGAACACATACCAATGAGAGCAAGACGACCGCCCAATCTTCTCCCCCAGCGACAAGACGGCAAAGCCTGAAGCGAACATATACGGATATTGCACCTCTGACTCTACAGAATAGACTCATGGACGCTCTCGCACAGCCATATCTAGCCATCGATATAAATGATCAGCTCCTGTCTCCTGGGATTCCCCAATCCGCTGGAGGCTCGTTTATGGGCACTTCTCACCCTCTGGGTCCTGCGGTCCATGGACACTCTAGTAGATGGTCTCCAGCAGCGCAAGCTATCTTCACCACTTCAAGTACTGCACCATACACCATCATGGCAGCCAATGACCTCGCCTGCCTTGTGTTTGGCGTCACCAATGCCGAGGTCCGGAAGATGGGAATCTTGGAAGTTGTGCAAAAAGAGCGAAGGGCGTGGTTAGAAGAAAAACTGACAGCACCCGGGTCAAGTTCCGCCTCTGATTCTGGCAGACCTAGTCCCCGGTCGCCCCCTGAAAGCCAAAGCACGTACTCAAGTCCTACTCCAACAACATCGTTTATTCTTGGCAGGCCGGGTGGGGTCACTGCAGCTCTGCTTAGCAAACCAAATTCACGGCAGAATCCAAAGTCACCTCGACGATCGCAAACGGATGACGGCGCAGGGTCGAGTCTTGTTGCTAGGACGAAGAATGCCAAAGGCGGCTTATTTCACCCTAGTAACAAGTCTAGAGGAGTCCTGCTCTGCGGAGATGTGGTGCCGATTCAAAAAAGGAATGGAGCAACAGGCTCTGCCAGTTTATGGGTTAAAGAGAAACGGGGTGGATTGATCTGGGTCCTCGAAGAGATCCATGAGGATGTGGCCACGCTCAGTCTGGACGAGGATGCACTGGTCACCAAAATTGTTGGTGCAACAGGCGCAATATGGGGGAGGGATATTACCAGATTCGGTATGGACATTGGCCAGCTGTTACCAAGAATTCCTCGGCAGGGTATCGTTTCCGGCACTGGTGAGATTGATTACGCGGAAGTTGCCAAGAGAAGGTATTTCTCAGCTCGCAACTCTGGACGCGTGAACATTCCGTGCATAGTCGACAGAATAGAAGGCTGCACCGACCTGAGAGTCTCTAGCTTCCCCCATATCGCTGGAATCATGGTCCTCTCTGCAAAGACGTTGGAGATTACGAGCTCCAATTCAGTGTTCTCGGCGGCTTTATTCGGCCAGGAAAAGCCGGATGGTCGACTAATCACCGACCTGATTCCCGATTTTGAACGAATGCTAAAGATTCTGACCGAAGAAGACGGGGTTGACCTGATCGATGGTATTGTTATTCCGGAGCACAGCTTCCGCCGTGCGTGGGCATCACTGGCCCTGAGAGATGGAAAGAAAGATGCTGCATCGTACTTCCTACGGCCCGATGGGCTTCCTGCGAAACATAGAGATGGCTCTGAGATCAAGATAGACGCTCAGTTGAGGGTTGTACAGTCTGAGAGCTACCCTCCCGTGCCAGCTTATGACGAGAACGTCATCGAAGAGAGGAGTGAAGAAGAGGACGACGAATCTGGTCCCAAGTCCGAGTCATCTTCTCAACTTGTCTACGCCTTGTGGATCACCTACTCACGTCACATTCACGCATCTAGACATAACCCCCCGGGACCCGGCTCGCCATTAATTTCTGAAGTTGCGACTCCTCTCCACCAACCGTCGCCTGGACAGACTGAGGTCGCTTCGCCGATAGAAATGGAATCTTCGGACGAGGAGACGAAGAAAAGGCAATCCCATGCCTCTCAACTCACGAACCAGCTCAAGGCCGCTGCGAAGAAGACGGCTGCGAAGATCACTGGGCGTGGGTACTCCACCCCAGAGGAACCCAAGAAAGAAGAGATCCCCGTGATCGTGAAACCCGCGCCGAAGAAGACGATTGATGACTTTTTCATTCTTGAAGAAATGGGTCAAGGGGCTTATGGTCAAGTCAAGCTTGCACGGTACAAGAAGGATGGGAACCAGAAAATGGTACTCAAATATGTTACCAAGCGCCGCATCCTCGTTGATACGTGGACTCGAGACCGACGGCTTGGCACCGTGCCCTTAGAAATCCACGTCCTCGATTATCTGCGACGAGATGGATTGAAGCATCCAAACATTGTCGAGATGACCGACTTCTTCGAAGACGATATAAATTACTATATCGAGATGGTTCCTCACGGTCTGCCTGGGATGGATCTTTTTGACTATATCGAGCTTCGGGTCAACATGGAGGAGGAAGAATGTAGAAGTATTTTCGTACAGGTTGCCCGCGCGATTCATCACCTTCACACCAAGGCTCTCGTGGTTCATCGGGATATCAAAGATGAGAACGTCGTTCTGGATGGTGAGGGCAACATCAAGCTTATCGACTTTGGCAGTGCTGCGTACATCAAGAATGGACCATTTGATGTTTTTGTTGGAACTATTGGTAAGAACGAGTGTCTCCCCGGCTTTCAATCCTGCTAAAATTTCCCCAGATTACGCAGCACCCGAGGTCCTAGCTGGAAAGCCCTACCGTGGCAAGGAGCAAGATGCCTGGGCCCTCGGCATCCTTCTCTACACTATCGTCTACAAGGAAAACCCTTTCTACAGCATCGACGAGATCATGGACCGTGATCTCCGCGTCCCATACGTCATGAGCGAGGATAGCATCGACCTGATCCGCGCCATGCTCGACCGAGACGTTGAATCTCGCATCTCTATCGAAAACGTACTCGAGCATCCTTGGTGTCAGGACGTTAAAGAGTGAATGAAGGATATTAAGACGCGAGCTGGTGGGTTGACTGGGGGCCGCGCCGGCTTGGAGCGATATTTAGACTTTGAGCAGGCGTTTTTATAGCTGAACGAGCGAGCGACATGGCCTTACAAATAGCGAGGTGAGCTAAAACCAGACCAGAAAATGTATAGATTTCCACAGCTATGGTAAGAAAAGATAACAAGGAGACTGGAGAAGGATGATACCCAGGTATGTGAGAATGATGGTACATGGTACATGGTAACGGAGGTAGGGGCGAGAGCTGGCTTTTTGGATTGATTTGGGGTGGGGGGGGGGGTTAGCTAGGTTTCTGGGAGGTGGGCAGTGCCCGGTGACGGAAGGTAGGAAGGGGATAATACCAGAGTGAGGGAAACGAGATGAGACGAGGCGTCAATGAAATGAATGATAAGGGAGGAGGGGGCTGGGCTGGGCTGGGCTAGGTAAGGGCTCTCTTCTCCCCTCCTCCTGATTATACGTAGTATATGCATGCATATGATAGAAGTGAGATGATGCAACATATAAATAAATATAATAACTTGTTGCGAAATATCATATCAACGAGTACCTAGTCGGCACGTGAGTGAGTGTGTGATATAGTGATTGTGTGGTAACTACCTAGGTATTGAATAAATTAATGAATGAATAAATACTTTTCTTTTCCTTACTTTCCTTACTTTCCTTACTTTCCTTACTTTCCTTACTTTCCTTACTTTCCTTACTTTCCTTACTTTCCTTACTTTCCTTACTTTCCTTACTTTCCTTACTTTCCTTACCCTTCCTGCCCTGCTACACAGCCTCGCTTCGTGTCCTTAGCAAGCAGCAGTTTTGAGAGAGACAGAGCCAGCCTTAGCCCCCTTGTCGCATCATCACCACCAATCAAATCTCCCAACCCAAAAGTCTCTCTCTCTCTC